GGGGGGGGGGGGGCAATTATTTGCATACCAATATTCTGTTTTATCATTTTTTGGCACAAATATTTTTACTACATAACTGGGTTTTGCAAAAAAATTCAATTTTTGCAAATTTGCATTTTTTGGCAGATTCTAAAAGTAGAGAAATGGAGCTTTCCAATGATGTATCGATTTGTCATATTTGGACATCAAACATGAAATTTAGAGGGGTAGGGGGTATCCTGGTTGTCAAGTACCCCAACAGGGATAGGGTTAAGATAGCCCGTAAACTTTTGTTATTTCAGCTACTGATCTAAAAATTAAATTTTTGAAAAGACCTTGAAAAATGGATTTAAAAATTGGGGTCTTTATAGGGTTAATATTGTGCTTAAAACTGAGCTTTTTTTAGGGGGGTGAACAACAACCGCATGGGGGGTGAATCCCCCAAAAGTACACCCCTAGGCTAGACCTCCACTACGCCCCATTGACCACGGATCCGGATCCAAGGGGCAAGATATTAACCAAAACAAAACAAAAAAATTTTGCTATCAAAACACAAATCTGAACTGTTGAAAAAAAAAGAGATTATTAAAATTTTCTTATCTCTGCATGGTTCATTAAGTTTAAGCATAAAAGTATCAAACCGGATCCATTTTTTCCAGTGCGAAACCGCATCAAATTAAATGGATCCTAAGCACAGCAAAAAAATAATGTGAGTCAACTATTTACATTAGACAGATTAGATTCAGATGTTTTCTTAGAAATACTCGTATTACAAACATTATAGACGTTTTATTAATCGTATTTTTTTGGAAATAATGAATATTATATATTTTAGGACATGAAAACAAAAAACTGCAAATTTTTAAAAGGTTGAGTTAAAATTACATTACCAAAACTACGATCTAAGAATTTTTTTTTTATAATGAAGATGGCAGCTGTTTTTTAAATAATGTACTCTTGTACTACTTTATTATATAAACTTACCTCTGGAAAGAGAAGAACCATATCAGTCACAGCGCGCACTATTCTTTCGGAGCACGGGATAAAAGACTCAAACTGAAAATAATAATAAATAAGAACATTAAAAAATTGTGTTTTGTTAGGATAATTTTAGATTTTTTAAAAAAATACATACAACAGTGAAAAAGGAAGACGACATTTGAACAATCTTATGTATATGAAGTCGTTAAAAATCAAATTGTTCTATCTGTAGCTTGAAAATGATCTTAAGTAAAACGGGTCTGTGTAGTGTGTAAACTGTACAGTGTACTCTGTACATGTGTATTGGACTTTTAAAAATCATAATTAAAGTCTTAAAGACGTCTAAATCTATTCCATAGTTTCAGGATCCCAATGTACAAAAATAGTTCCCACCTTTTCGTCCTTGGCACTAATTAGAAGCTCCTGGATACATCTCGTGATAGCCTCTGTTCTCCGAACCACTTCCTCCTGGGAGGGAAGAACATCCTGAAACAAGCAACAACTTGAAACAATCGAATATTGAAAAAAAATTAAGTTTTGTCAAGAAATTTCTCTGTTTATTTAAACTAAGTTTATCAAATCAGATCTTTTTTGTTTTATCAGAAATATCTTTAAAAATTAAGAGAGATGGAAATAGTGAAAAAACTAATATTGGAAATATTCTGATAATTTATCATCATTTTTTTCTCTCTAGAATTTATTATTTTATGCAGAAGCTTTCAATCAGATTTGTTTTAAAACATAAAACCCCTTTCTTAAAATTTCATTAAGTTAAATAAATAAATGTTTCCTAGGGAAGCTTCTAATTAAACAAAATATTCAACTGCTTTTATTTGAAAAGTCTGAAATGTATCTTATTATTATTATTATTATTGTTACTTATTAAATATGAACCTGAAAACCAGTTCCATCTTGATATTGTTGATGCAAGGAGTAAGGAAGACTATGAGGTCCTTCAAAACCTCCGCTAGGATACCGAGGATAGTTCTGCTCTAATGAATCCCTACGGGATGAAGCCAGGTTCCTGGGGCTCCCAGATCCAACATGCATATAGTTAGCTCCGGGTCCAGGTAGAGAGGTTGGACCTGCACTGCTAAACCCTCCTCTCCCATCCCTAGATACATCCAGAATAATATTTTGTAAAACCTTGAAAACGAAAGAGTTGTTATTTTATTTTTTGTTTACCTATACTCATACATAGACTGTGCTCTTGAACCAGGACTCTGTGGGGAGCGGAGTGGGGATGAATGAGAAGCGTGTGGAGAACCAGATCTTCCATCTACATAGGGAACTCCTTCACCTCGGAGCAGCATGTGTGTACTATGCTGAGGAGATTCGTTCATATTTTGTCCATGAGAGGGAGACATACTCACCCGTTGCAGACTTTTGTTATCATTTACTAGTTTCTGTACTGTAGATTGGAGTTTAGCCAATTCAGATCTCATGTCATCATTGCTGGCGATCAGAGCTTGAACTTTCTTTTCTGAACTCTCAAGCTGCTCTTTCAGTACAGCATAATCTGGAGGTGGGGCGGGTTCCCTGTCGGCTGCAGCCAAAGATTTAGATCGTTGAAGGGTTGCACTGATAGAATTTCCTCCCATACTCATCAAACTTTCTCTTTCCTTACTTCCAGCCTTGTACATCGATAAATGTCTCAATTTCTTCTCATCCTTATCGTCAATATTATAATAATCATCATCAGATGCCACGCTATCATACAGGGGTTCGTCGTCGGATAGAGCAGAATCACGCATTTTTCCAGCTCCCAGAGTTCTCGCAAGATTCAACTTTTGTAAGGTTTGGTTGAGCTCCGCACTGGGGGAGTACTTGAATTTAGTGAATCCTCGTGAGGAATCAATCTCATTTTGTCTTCTCTTGATTTCCTTGAGAACGTCTATGGATAAAGCTGCGAACTCTGCGTCCGTAAGACGGGCAAGCTTTTGTCTACCTTGGTTTCTAGTAGCGCTGTAGTCTGGGTTGACCGGTAGGAAAGGAACTACGACACTGTTCTGTGAGTTAGGTTCTAGTTTGTTCCAAAGAGCATCAGTCTCACGTCTATCCACCTCATCATATACATCTATAGCAAGCTCTTCAAATACTTTATTGTTCAAACCAGTCATCTTCTTCCTGGCTACCTTGCTGTTTTCTACAGAAGGTTCAGGGATTATATAATGATTGTTACTGCTGTGCTCTGGTCGTTTACCGGACAGGAAAAAAGAAATTCTGTCTGATAATTCATACTGTGCATTGTTTATTCTAGTCGCTAAACCATGGAACCCTCCGGCCCGTGCATATTCACCAGCACTCTTTCCTTGTAGATCTATAGCGGCGGGATCAGCTCCATATACCAATAGCAGCTCCACCTGGCAAACCTGACCGGCCTTGGCAGCTACAGAGAGAGGAGTTGAATTCTTCTCCGGGTGGAAGTAGTTTGGATCCGCTCCCTGAGATAGCAGGCGAAGGCTCGTCTCAAGGTTAGGAGTTCTTACACTAAAGAAAAAAGTTTAGAAATTTCTCAATTTTTAATGGCGATTTAGTAATTTAAATGAAAATCAATTTTATACCTTGAATGTAACTGCTTGCTAAGGTCTGACTCCGTGATTAGAACATTGTCTTTGGCAGGTTTAAAAACAAATGAGAGTTGTTGATACTTTGATCGGATAAAATCCCCTTTGTTTGGATGGACTGGATCAGAGGGCTGAGGTTTCTTCTTCCCAGCTTTAGAGCTGTTGGGGTTCAGTAAACTATACTCCCATATACTAAACATTAGTTTAGGTTTAGTAAACTATACTCCCATATACTAAACATCAGTTTAGGTTTAGTAAACTATACTCCCATATACTAAAAATAGTTTAGGTTTTGTAAACTATACTCCCATGTACTAAACATTAGTTTAGGTTCAGTAAACAATACTACCATATACTAAACATTAGTTTAGGTTTAGTAAACTATACTCCCATATAGTAAACATTAGTTTAGGTTCAGTAAACTATACTCCCATTTACTAAACATTAGTTTAGGTTCAGTAAATTATACTCCCATATACTAAACATTAATTTAGGTTCAGTAAACTATACTCCCATATACTAAACATTAGTTTAGGTTCAGTAAACTATACTCCCATATACTAAACATTAATTTAGGTTCAGTCAACTTAATTCCAATATAGTAAACATTAGTTAAGGTTTAGTAAACAATACTCCGATATAGTAAACATTAGTTTAGGTTTAGTAAACTATACTCCGATATACTAAACATTAGTTTAGGTTCAGTAAACTATACTCCCATATACTAACATTAGTTTAGGTTCAGTAAACTATACTCCCATATACTAACATTAGTTTAGGTATAGTAAACTATACTCCCATGTACTAAACATTAGTTTAGACTTAGTCAACTATACTCCCTTATAGTAAATATTAGTATATGGGTGTATATATTGTTTATTCTATTGTTTAATAGGATTGGTTTATATATTTGTATATGTTAGCTATAGCTAGCCAAACGGCTGAACCAAATTGGCGGATATTTTTTATAATAAAATGGTAATATTACATTAATATATACACATATTGTAGAAAACATTACGTTTGAACGATTTAATTTTACTCTCATAACATTTTCCCCCTTTCCCAACAAATTATGGGAGAATATTAACAAAAATTAAAAATAAATAAAGATTTCTTAAGCTCGCTGTTTTTAAAAATGATACTTTTAAATTGGTTTTTTATCTTTTTTTGTTTCCTTTATTTACCTGTTTGCTCCACAGCTGTATATTGATTGAACCATGGTTAGCTGCTCCGGTATCCAGGTTCCCTGCTTCAAGCATTTCACATGGGAGATGTGTCTCCCTAGGGACCTGTGCACGGAGCAACAGTCGGAGCAGACTAGGATACCCCGGTTTACTGACGCCCAGGACGGGTTGGAAGCTCCACAGTCTGCGCATACAGATAAGGGATGACGAGATTTTGTTTTAGAAAACATGTTTATCGCGTCAACATTCTGAAATTCAATTGTTTGTTAAAAAAAAGAATAAGGCGTTTGGTAAACGAAATATGACTGAAACTTAAATGACTCGATTAAATATTTTGTTTTTGTGTTGCACTAACAACCTTCTCTTTCAAAAAAACTAAAGTAACAAAACTGACCAAACAATTAATCAAAGTTTGACCTTGTTTTGCTTATATTTCACAGTTAAACAATTGTAACCAAAAAATGCAATCAACTTATTATTCAAACTTTTAGTGACGAGAAAAAAATACAAATTGCGAATATAAGCGAATAAATGTTTAAATACAAACATAAATAGATACAGGAATGTGCGAATGAATAAAATTGCTTTTTGCGAATTACTCTCTATTTTAAAGATGCATGAGATTAATAACAACAATAACAGCCATGTTCTGGCAAGCATTAAGATTATGACTCATTTGACGTATTCAGACTTTTTCTGGAATTATCAGAATGGACAAGGAGCAATTAGAAAAAATATTTTTATTGAACAAATTATTAACTGACTTGACGCCATAATTGAAGATTTATCACAAGACTTATCGCCCTACAGCTCAGAATATCTCGAGGAGTGAAGATTAACTGAATATAGAGATTAGTTGAATATAAAGTTAATTCCATTTTGGAGATTGTTGAAAAAAAATTAAATCAGCCTGACATTAAAGAATATCTTTGAAGTCATGGAGAGCTTTTCCGTTAAATTATGTAATTTTGGAATCAAATCAAATCTGACTGGATAATGATTTAAGAAATTTTGACTTATTTGACTTTTACATATAAATTATTCAGTTGTGGGAGTATCAAAGTGGACTAAAGATATGTTATTGTGGAAATATCAAATTGGATCATAATTAACAATTAACTGAGCAGTCGGAAATAATATTTATCCAGGAAAAGTGCAAATTAACATTAACAAAATAAATTGAAAAACAAATAAGCAAACCTTTTAGTTATTCGTCAAAATATTAAAACAAAAGACAAAAATATATATCTAGCTACATAATTCGTAAATTTAATGCGTACGAAAGTAAGTAAGGCGAATATCATGTTAATATCGTCAATTGTAACAACAGATTTAAATAAAATGTTTGGGGTTGGTCCAATTCCAAACATGGAAGCCGCGTTCAATTTCTTAAAACAAGTTTTCATGCACAGTGGTCCAACTCTCATATTTACAAACATGTATTTTTATTTGATTAAACAAAGAAAAAAAGAATATTTATTGAGAGTTGCAGCAAGAATAATACAGAAATAAATGAATAAAATATTTAAAACTTAAAATAAGGACAACATATTTTAAAATTTCGTTCAGTTAGTTGATTGTTTTACAAAAATTTAAATTAAGATTATTTTGACAGTCAATTTCAAATTCTTCAACTCGAATTTTTTTCTTTTGTATATTATTGTTATTTGAAAATATTTTTTCTTTTTATTTTATGTAAAGAAGCTCAGTGTGTGGATGTTATATTTGTTAAGAATTGATTGCGGCAGTCTCAGCGTGGACCGGGAGCTTCTGAGCACCGACAGAACCTTCCCGAACAATCTAGTGATGTTAAGAGTTGGGAGTTTGTTATGTTTTGTTGTGATCGATACCGTTGTATGAGATATCGTGCAAATTAATTGTAAATCTAAAATGAAATCCATATTTATCAAATATGCATTTTTTCAAAATATTGTAATCCTTGAAATCTATAAGTATTTTCGCACACCTGGTATATATTTAGCAGAATCAAAGTAATCGATCAGATTATTTTCATGGGACATTATAAGTAATTTTGGATCAGCCATCTTTCATATGAACGGTTAGTCTTTGATTGTTTCTTGGATGTTAAAATCAATATTTTCAGAAGAATAAAATCTGATCAAGATGATGGGTCCAGGCCCTATTATGGTGTTGAGTCAGAATACTAAGCGGGATTCAGGAAAGAAAGTACAGATGGGAAACATCAACGCTGGCAAAGCTATCGGAGATGTTGTCCGAACCTGCCTCGGTCCTCGGGCCATGTTGAAGATGTTGATGGACCCCATGGGTGGTATTGTCATGACCAACGACGGTAATGCAATCCTAAGAGAAATCACCGTGGAGCACCCGGCCGCGAAGACCATGATTGAGATTGCTAGAACACAGGACGAGGAGGTTGGAGATGGAACAACTTCTGTTATTGTTCTTGCTGCCGAGGTTCTAGGAGTGTCTCAGCAGTTTCTGGAGGAGAAAATGCATCCTACAGTTATTATTCAGGTTGGTTTTCAACAGATAAGTTGAATTATATGTCTAATAACTAGGCCATGAAGATTTAAGTATTATTCCTGATATTTTTCATTACATCTTGTTAATTTGAAAATGTTTTCAAATATTGTTTGCTATCTTTATCGCACAATCTGAGGCCATTAAAGCTTCAGCTATCTTTTATCATAGTAGTCAATACCTAAAACTTGTGTTTGAAGAACAACAAGTTGTTTTATATTTTGGATTATGTACCTTTCGGATCCACGGACCTGCATTATTTTAAAATAAATGTGTTTTTGGGGTGGGTAGGTTAGGGGCTAGACTCGTATTTAGATATTATTCAGAGACTAGTGACAATGTTTCTAGATATTACAGAATGTGATTTCTTATCAGACTCGTAGTTCATATCAAATATACTAATTCATACGTAAAGGGATGTTTAAACATGTGACAGATGTATTATGTGTAATCTTAGGTTCACTCAAGTTTAGAAATCAGTTAGGGTGCAGGTTCAATTTAGAATGGGGTGTTAAAACTGATACTGTCTAGACAATGATTTAAGGATAAATGTGAATACTCTTTAGTTTGAATGCATGTTAGAAGAGAAGGGTAAGTTAAAGTTTACGTATTGTTAGGATGTTACGTTAAAATAATAGTTATTATTTTTTAGAAATCATGTTAAATTTGGAAAACTAGAAAGATATAAAATGTGTCTAAATACAATCCATGTTTAACCCACTGTTTTTAGGCTTACAGACAAGCTCTAGAAGATGCTACCAACCTCCTCAGAGAGAAAGTTGCAACCCCCATTGATATGGAGAACAAAGCTGAGGTTAGGAAGGTTGTCCAGTCTTGCGTTGGAACCAAGTTCATCGCCAAGTGGAGTGATCTTGCCTGCGACATTGCCATGGAAGCTGTGAAAACTGTCTCCATGGACATGTCCGGGAAAAAGGAGATTGATATCAAGCGGTATGCTAAGGTCGAAAAGATTCCTGGAGGATCCATTGAAGACTCCCAGGTCCTCAGGGGAGTTATGTTTAACAAGGATGTTACTCATCCTAAGATGAAAAGGAGGATTGAAAAACCAAGAATTCTTCTCCTTGATTGTAATCTTGAGTATAAGAAAGGAGAATCCCAAACTAACATCGAGATCATGAAGGAGGACGACTTCAGCAAGGTTCTCCAGCAGGAGGAGGCCTACATCAAGAAGATGTGTGATGATATCCTCGCCTTTAAACCCGACCTTGTTATCACAGAAAAAGGAGTTTCCGATCTTGCTCAACATTTCTTCAACAAGGCCGGGATTACAGCTATCCGTCGTCTCAGGAAGAGTGATAACCTCAGGGTTGCCAGAGCCTGTGGCGCAACCATTGTCAACAGAACAGATGAAATCTCTGAGGACAATATTGGAACCGGAGCTGGACTCTTCGAGGTCAGGAAGATCGGAGACGAATATTTTACATTTATTGAGGAATGTGAAGACCCCAAGGCTTGTACTATTCTACTCCGTGGAGCAAGCAAGGATATCCTGAACGAGGTAGAAAGGAATCTGCAGGATGCTCTTAATGTTGCCAGGAATCTGTGGATGGAACCTGCCTTGGTTCCCGGTGGTGGAGCTACCGAGATGGAAATTGCCTATCTTCTTACACAAATGGCTAAATCATTGAACGGCGTGATCCAGTGGCCTTACAAGGCAATTGCCTCCGCACTTGAGGTGATTCCCCGCACCATTGCCCAGAACTGTGGAGCCAACACCATTCGATCTCTTACAGCACTCCGAGCCAAGCATGCTCTGGATGCGGAGAAGAACGTAAACTGGGGAATCAACGGTGAGACCGGAGCTTTGGCTGATATGAGCGAGCTCGGTATCTGGGAACCTCTCTCCGTCAAACTCCAGGTATGAAATAAAAGCGTTTTCACTCCCCCCCCCCCCTTGCCTTTATCAGACGAGAGATATCCATTTTATTTAAAGAGAGTAGTCGTATAACTGAATTCGTTTGCAAAACTATTTTTGTTATTAATTAACTTTTTTAAGGTGTACAAGACCGCCGTCGAAACCGCTATCCTTCTCCTAAGGATTGATGATATCGTCTCCGGAAGTAAGAAGAGGGGAGAGCAGGGACCTGCCGTAGACCACGGAGCAGGCCCTGACCCAAGCATGATGTCTATGGGAGAATAAATTCTGCACCAATTGTGATGTAACGATCTTGTCTTACTCAATAACTCACTAATATGTTTATATACACAAGTATTGATTCACGCTAAGTCCTTTTGATCCTGATAATTCTTTTCAGAGATTTATAAAAATGAAGATTCTTATCCTTGAACCCTTCTATGGAGGGTCACACAAGCAACTGATAGATTTAATTCAACAATCCGTTAAAGAGAAAGATTTAGAACTGATAACCCAGACTGCAAAGAAATGGCACTGGAGAGCCAGATCCTCTGCGGTTTGGTATTCTCAGAAGATTGAAGATAATGTTGGACGATATTCACATATCTTCTCATCTAGTGTACTAAACCTTTGTGAACTGTTTGGATTGAGACCGGATTTAAAATCTGCCAGGAACGGATCCAGTTTTGTTTTGCTTCTGATTAAATATAAGTTTAGGATTGCATTTTTCATTTTGTTTACTAACTTTGCTTTTTTAATGACCAACTATATCTACAGCTTTTTTCCTGAGAAAAGTTGGATGATATTTTATATATCCAAGTAAAGCCTATAACTTGGCAAGTTGCCATAATCGTATGTGTCTTATCTAGGATGTCTGTTTTTAGTTGAATGTATTTTTTATTAGAATGTTTCGCATTGTTTGGGTTTCAATATTCGCTTATTTTAGGTTCTGATCGGTCTTCTGACATTTGAGATGTTTTGGTGAATTTATTCTGAACTCTGTTAAAATAAGTAGTCTAAAAAATTTCCATTTTGAATTTTAAGGTGAATGTAATCACAAGATCAAGGATTAGGCTTTAATTGATTGATTCTGATGATTTACCAGAAGTTTACTCAGCAGTTGTTGGAAGATGAGTAATCGATTATGTAAGGAAAGAATGAAAAGTTAGGTATTGGAAGTTGACATTATTGTAGTGGTGACGCCCTTTACCGATTTCCGGAGAAAATATTTGTTTGCCCAAAAAGTCGCACTTTTTTTATGTATTGGTAATACTAACTCGAAAAACTTTTCAAGCTTAAGAGAGAATTAAATGTCAAGAGATGTAGAGTAATGCTCTTGGGGTCGAAAACTGGTTATTTCATAGATATATAAGAAATGAAATAAGGGGCCAAAATCACAAAAATAGCTAAAATAATACGATTTTTAAAATATTTTCTCCTGAAACCTGTAATTAAGAATTAATCCCAAACACATAAAAAAAACAATCATGATCCTATTGTTCTCCAGGAGTATCCTATACTTCCATGAAAATCAGTTGGTTTATCCTGTCCAGACAGTTCAGGATAGGGACTTCCAGTTCGGATACAATCAGATCCTCTCCGCCCTAGGTTCAACAATATTAATTTCATCCATTCCTTCAAACTGTGGTAACTCATCCAGGATATTTCCCTTCAATACAGAAATACAATTTGTTGATGTACGTAGCTGCGGATGAATTGCTCTTTAACTCCGAGTACAACCTATCCTCGTTTCTGCAGAATATTCCGAAACATTTCAAAATTCAACCAGACTTTAAACCAGACACTAAAATTATAGTTAAGAAGATTAGGGATAAATCAAGAGTTCTGTATTTCCCTATTTACGAAGAGTTGAAGCTTCTTGATTTAGGAGAAAAGAATAGTTCAGATGTATTGCATATAGTTTGGGCACACAGATGGGAGCACGATAAAAACCCGGAGTCATTCTTCCAAGCTCTGTACACGCTACATGAAGAGGGGTTTAGCTTTAAGATATCTGTACTAGGAGAAACATACTCTCAAGTTCCCCCTATTTTTGAAGAAGCTAGGAGTATCCTGTCCGACCATATTCTACAGTTTGGTTTTGCAAAGACTAAAGAGGAATACTACAGTATTCTACGCGACGGAGATGTGATCGTTAGCACAGCTATTCATGAGTTTTTCGGTGTATCAATGCTTGAAGGGTTTTATCTTGGATGCTTTCCTCTGGTTCCAAACCGTCTGGTGTACCCAGAGATATATTCTGAAGAATGTATTTATAACACAGATACTCAACTTTACAAGAAATTGAGAAATTTTATCAGGAATCCGTCCGCGCTGAGATCCAGGAAAATATTCACAGATTTTCAGAAATTTTCAATAAAACCCTTTCTAACTTTGTTTGAATAAATGATAAAATGAAAATCAATTTTATATTGTATTCCAGATTTTGAATTTAAGAAATGCAGCAGGCGGGGAGGATCTGCTCAGGGAGCAGTAAAACCTCTACCTGGTCTGCTAGAAGGAGAGCATGGATAGGATTGAGAAATCTCTCGGTAAAATCAAATCAGTCCGTGGAGATAAAAGAAGAATCCGACCTGCCCTCTCATGCTCAGGTCAGCGGACTACTAATGATCGTAGACATTTTAAGAATTTCATATTTTGAGGTTTTTCAAACTTAATCAAAACAAAAGAAATAAATTAAGATAAAAAGAAAGAAAGGTATACAATACATTATTACAATATATGTGCTCGCAAGCTTCTATTGCAACTAATGTACATTTAAAATTCAAGGTTTAAGTATTGATGCATTTATAGAGATTCTTAACCAAAGAAATGTTTATTCGGCATAACTAATATTAGAGGATTTTACGTACATAAATGAAAATTAAAGACTTAAAATTGGGATTTTAATATACTCAAACATTCCACTTAAATAATTTTTCTACTCCGTTCATATAATTTATTTCCCACAACGGAGAAGTAAGTGAATGTGTGTGGTTTATTTAGTTTGTTAATAAAGGTCGTGATTGCTGGATCTGGTATGATCGGTAACTCTGTTGCGTATCATCTAGTACAGCGGGGATGGTCTGATATTGTCATTATTGACAAAGGTTGGTAAGTAGTAATATTTGCAGTGGATAAATAACATTTTATGTAATCGAAAATTTGATTTAATGTCTAAGAAAAGTATATTAGTTGAAAAATACCACCTAATAGGGCTTTAAATAAATTTTATTTTTCATGATTCTTTAATTAATGGTTAGATCTTGTTATCGTCTAAGCACAAAACTCTGAATTCAAGAGTTTTAAACAATAAAATTAAAATTTTTAATCTGTTTAGGTAAGGTTGCCGAGGGAACGAGTAGATATGGAAGTGGAATGCTTGGATTATTTCGACCCTCTTACGAGAGAAAACTGGTTCAATACTGTATAGATCTTTATTCAAATCTTCAGGTAGATATAGTTGTTTTGTTCTTAGTTTTAACGTTTTTTTGTGGCTTTCAGGCGACTTCACAAAAATTTGAGTTTTTAAAATCTGTATGTATATTATATACTAGGCTTTTATAGACGCTTCGCGCCCATCTTCTATTTCAATTGTGTACATGTTCTCGTCGTATACATTGTAAAAAAAATTTGTGTGGATTTTATTAAAAAAAACTTCGTTGATTTTCAAAATTTTCTATAATCGAATTTTGTTAGAGGCTTCGAAAATTCGATCATCCATAAACCTTCCCTTGGGCCACGCGAGGTCCCTCAAAAAATTTGGGCCAGCTCGGTTCAGTCATTTTGACGCTTATTGGATACAAACAAACAATCAAACAGACAGACAAGCAAAGTACATTTATAGATGTACCTTTAGGAGTGCGCTATTCTAAGTTGAAACAAATAATTAATGGTGTGATAAATGTTATCGTATTTTAGAAACAAGGTTATGATTTGGGGCTAGAGCACTGTGGTAGTGTTAATATTGCTACAAGTAAAGATAGATTGATTTCTCTCCAGAGACGAGCAAGTAGCTACAGGTATAAAGATTTGGATGACATTTTTTAAAAGACCAACAGCTCAGTAGAAAGTGACAGAATTTAGTGCTTAAGATTTTCAGATAAAATCTAAAATTCCCTATTACAACATTTTGATATTATTTATAAAAATTCTAAAAAAATTTACTAAATAGTTTCTATTTCGGAAAATTTACATCCCGAAGTTCATAAATCCCTGTTTAAGACCCACTGGAGTAGAATGTCATCTGATTGGTGGGAAGGAAATGGAGGAACTCCATCCTTATGTGAATACTGAGGATATACTCGGAGGAGTCTGGATACCGCAGGACGCATGCGTAGATGCCGGGAAGGTTTCACAGGTTCTAGCTCATCTAGCCAACGAAGGTATTATCTTAGATGAAGAGACAGTTGTTGTATATCTATATATAAATTTGGCTTGTCTGTCTGTCTGTCTGTCTGTTTGTATCCAATAAACGTCAAAACGACTGAACCGATCGGGCCCAAATGTTTTGTGGGACATCTAGGGACCCCAGGGAAGGTTTATGAACGATCAAAATTTCAAATATTTGTCTCCATCAAAATTCGATCGTCATTAAATTTTTGAAAATTTTGAAAATCCGCGAAATTTTTTGTGAAAATCCGCGAATTATTTTTTTTGTTTTGTTTTACAATGTACACAAAGAGAACATGTTCACAATTAATTTAGAAGATGGGCGCGAAGCGCCCTCTAAGGCTAGTATTATAAAAAAGTGGATAACTTAATTATAATATGTAAAATTCCATTTTTTCATATTTTTGCCTTTCTTTAGATTTGACATTATCTTGACAACATTAATGGTCGACATTCTTTTCTAGTGCAAGCACTTCATAGTTTATACCTCTACCTAAAAAATTATAAACATTTTTATGTGAGATCCATGACCGATTCACAATGCTACCCTTAAAAAAAATTATTGAACAAAAATGATTGAGCCAATCCAATAAAGGGATAAATGATACCGTTGTGAATCGGGCATGTATTTGAAATTACGTAGACAGTACCTTTAAACCGTTGTTTAGGAGGAGCCAAGTTTGTTGGTGGATGTGGAGTTCGAAAGGTGCACACCAAGGTTGGAGAATCAGTGCAGAGTAATCTGTTCATGTATCAACATTCAAATAAGAATATTAAAGTCACAGGAGTAGAAACAGAAAAGTAAGATTTTAGTTATTTACAATTAGAATTAATGAATAAATTTCATTATTTTAATTTTTTTGAAATTCTTTTTTTAATTCTATTTTAGATATTATTAAATAAATATAAATAACTATGAATCTTTCAATTATATTTATAGAGGGTTGATAAAGTGCGAATATTTTGTTAATTGTGCTGGAATCTGGGCTAGAGAAATAGGTTGGTTATACATTACACAAAATAATAAATTAAGAATTATTGTTGTCCCACTACCAGTTTACAAGAGTTGGATAAAAAAGCTTTGACTTTAATTGGAAATAGATATAGATTGATTTAAAAATAAGAATAAGAGGCTAAATCTAAACCCAACAATTCATTTATTTTGCTCTCAATCATAATTTTCCTTTTTTCGGCAATAAAATCGTTAAAACCCTGTTTTTCGCTGCGTGCAAGTGTTCCTAGCATATTTGGTACGAAAAAATGATTTTTCAATTAACTTTTATTTACAGGATTACTTTTCTGTTCAGGTCGAATGATGGAAACCCCGGTTCGGATCCCAATCTGTCCAGCTGAACACTTTTTCCTAACATTCAAACCAATTCCGGAGCTGAAGGATAAAAAGCTGCCAAATGTTCGAGATTATGATTCTCGGATCTATGTTCGTCAGCTGGCCTCCTCCTTCATGATGGGAGTATTTGAGAAGCAGGCTCGACCCTGGGACGTAAGCAAACATGGGATAGATCCTGATTGGGATCAGATCAAGGTAAGATTACGAAGCTCCGTCTTTTCCTTTATTCGAGAACAAATCATAATGTAGTTAAAGACAAAAAACACGATTAAACTTAAATAAATATTGTAATTTTAGTTAAAATTCAATTCAATTTATGAATTCAAATTGAATAATGAATAAATATCTACGCAAAAATTTATGAATCAGTATAGTTGTTTAAATAGAATATTCTAATAAATATGATGGTTTAGGAGGAGCACTGGTTACACCTTGAACCATACATCCGTTCTTCTCTACGTAGATTTCCAATACTCAAAGAAACTCAGGAATATTATTCAAATTCTGGCAAATAATGAAAAAGCTTTTAAATTTTTCAAATATTTCCTATTTTAATAATCACTTTCCATTTCTATGAAAATCCCGCAATATCAATATAAATTGATTACCGAGATAGCGATTGATTGATTATGAGTAAAATATTGAATAACTATTTGATCAGTATGATTTCCTACTAAGTACACCGGATGCTTTTACTCCAGACGGAAGATGGATTCTCGGAGAAACTCCGGAGGTTGGAAACTATTTTGTCTGCGCTGGTATGAACGGTAACTCACTCCAGGGAGCTGGTGGGGTAGGTAAAGCTGTGGCTGACTGGATAGTTGGAGGTTCACCACCTGGAGATATGCTTCAGTTCGAAGTTCAGAGGTTTACCTCGCTTCACAACAACAATAGGTTTCTGCTTGAGAGATCCCGGGAGGTGGTCGGGAGACATTATCAGCTTCATTATCCGCTTGTATCAGAGTTCAAATATGGTAGACAGATCAGAACTTCTCCAATATACAGTGAACTAGAAGCTCGAGGAGCGGTTTTTGGAGAGAGAATGGGTTGGGAGAGAGCTTTATACTTTAATCCTTCACATCATCGCGAGGATCCACCCTCGGAGCTTCCTGGCGGAACCTTTAGAAAACCAGAGTTTTTCGATCATATCGAGGACGAGTATCTGGTGTGCAGAGAAGGAGTTGGACTCATCGATATGTCGAGCTTTGCCAAGTTTATTGTTCGAGGAGATGAAGAATCTGTGGTAAAGTTCCTGCAGAAGCTTTGCTCTAATGATATAAATATTCCTGTTGGAGGAATAGTTCCTACTGGTATGCAGAATGAGAAGGGGGGATATGAGAATGATTGTATGTTGATAAGACGAGATCTGAACTCATTTTTCATGGTTTCTCCGACTCAGCAGCAAACCAGAATATTGGAGTATATGGAGAACCATCTACCTGAGGATAATAGTGTAGGATTGCAGGTTAGTGGTAATAAATTTGACTATCCATTGCTGGTCCTAAATCTAAAGATCTGATGGAGGAAATGAGCGGAAGTGAGATGTCGATGCATCCGTTTACCTACAGGCAGACAATCATTACACAAATATTCTAACTTATTTTTAAGAACTAAGAACATTTCAATTAAAACTGAAATACAAAAAACTCGGCTTTTATTCATTTAGATATTTGATATAAGGGCTAGACAAATGGGGTAAAAGATACATAAAACCTCAAAATCCATTTTGCAAGTAAATTAAGCTGGGAAATGTTGTGGAATGCAACAGAATTGTTCTACTTTTTTAACCAACTGAAGAGACAAAAAAATGGCTCACTGTGATATCTTAGATACCGGCTTATCTATACTACCAGTAACTTGAGAATATATCTATTTTTGCTTTATTTTTGGATTTGAGTAAAATGTTTGTCGTTGTGTAGAGAGGTGAATGTTGGCTATGCAAGTGGAATAATGGTCCTAGCTGTTACTAATACAGGTTTTCAATCTAAACTAATTTTTTTTGTTCATTTTTGTTCATAATTAATTCAGATTTAGTTGTTCAGCGTTCAAGATTAAAGTTTTGATCTTATCTCTGAATATTTCAGGTGAACCTGGGTATTCGCTTTATATTCCATCAGAGTTCGCTCTTCAGATTTATGACAATCTTATGAAGGTTCGTATTTATCATCTATAATTATGGTTAAAAGATAAAATATATAAAATTAACTAGTTGGCGGTCAAACATCTTATATAATGATTAATTGATTGCAGGTTGGGAGGGATTACGGTATACGTAATGTGGGCCACCTCGCTATGCGGTTCCTACGGATAGAGAAGTTTATTCCGTTCTGGGGCGAGGAGTTGACCGCGGAAACAACTCCTAACGAGGTCAACAGAACCTTCAAGGTCAAGTTCGACAAAGACTATTTCGTCGGAAAGGATGCGCTACTGAAGCAGAAAGAGGAGGGCGTGTTTAAGAGACTGGTTCAGTTTCATCTTGAAGAGTTTAACAAGGACGAGGCTATCTGGCCCTGGGGTGGGGAAGCTATTTATAGGTTAGGCTTCTATTCACAAACTTTATTATATTCTTGAAAATATGTTAAAGTGACTGTTAGCGTAATTTCATTGCCATCCATGCAAAGATGGCAATGCCCGTGCCCGATTCATTACGATACCCTTGAACCTTTATCTGATCAATAATGTGGAAGATATTGTATTTTTTCTAGATTTAAAAGTGTTTAAAATTCCTGTATGTTGTGCTGCAGTAGAAATACGCAAGCCACTTCTCTGTAGAAACCACAATTGAAAATAATCTGTTTTTAAAATCATAAAAAATTTTATTTAATCCATACTTGATCAGACAAAACTGGCAAGGTTACCGTTGTTAATCTGACATTGCCATCTATACATGGAGGGTCACTTTAAATCACGCTTCCAGTCCCTTTAAGAGACTTAGTTTTAGGGTTAAGTCTTACTAAACGTCGAAAATATTCGTTTTAGAGGAGGGCATTTTAAATATTATTTTTTTTTGGTCTAAATGCATTGCATTGTTCACTGTTCAGTAAAAATCGTCAAGTCGTACATTCCTCTATTTTAGGAATGGTGAATTTGTTGGATTTACCACCTCCAGTGCGTATGGGTTCACCTTGCATAAAATGATAGCGCTGGGTTTTGTCCAGCACCCGTCCACACTAGCTGGTGCTAGAACTCCTGTTGATCATCATTGGGTTACAGACAAGTCGGCTCATTGGACTATAGACATTGCAGGGAAACAGGTTCCTATCACAGCTCACCTGCATCCTCCAAACTTGCCAATTATCAGCCAGGACTCTCATAATTCGGATTACATGAACAAGAAGAAACATCAGCCGACTGTTCAACTACTTAAACGTATTAAAAAGATGGAAAAGTCCAGCTAAAGTGCAAATTGTATACATTTCATTCATTCTGGATTCTAAATTTAATTTATTAATTAGAATATTTAGTTTTTAAATTTATTCAAATTCTTCTTTTAGTCTAGTCAAATATTTGCAGAGGAAAATGTCTGCTCCGGACGCGGAGATAGAAAAGCCGCTTGGCGGGGCGACAAAGATGGGGAAGGTTCCTAAGATGGCCAAGGTTAAGAACAAGGCTCCAGCAGAGCTTCAGATTACGGCAGAGCAGCTTCTGAGGGAGGCCAAGGAGAGAGAGTTGGAGATCGTTCCCCCGCCCCCCAAGCAGAAGATCCAGGATGAGGAAGAACTTCGAGATTTCCAGATGCGGAAAAGGAAAAATTTTGAGGACGCAATCCGGAAAAACAGATCAGTTATGTCTAATTGGATTAAGTATGCAACTTGGGAGGAGTCCCAGGGATCCTTAGATAGAACCAGGTCAGTTTAAAAACAAATATAGCTTATTTTGTTTGTATTTAAACTATACTAATAAAGGAAAATTTCTAGCTCAAAGATTTTATTATGTTTTTATGTAAAGGTCTGTATATGAGAGAGCTCTGGATGTTGATCACAGAAATATTGGATTGTGGTTGAAATATACTGAGATGGAGATGAGAAACAAACAGGTGAACCACGCAAGAAATCTGTGGGACAGAGCAGTTACCATCCTACCCAGAGCAAATCAGTTCTGGTATAAGTACACTTACATGGAGGAGATGTTGAATAATATCCCGGGCTGCAGAGCTGTGTTTGAGAGATGGATCGAGTGGGAGCCTGATGAGCAGCCCTGGTTAACGTACATCAAGTTCGAGCTCCGATACAAGGAGTTGGATAGAGCAAGGAAAATCTATGAAAGATTCGTCTACGTTCATCCCGATGTTAAGAATTGGATTAGATTTGCTCGATTCGAAGAATCTCATGGATTCATCAACAGCTCACGGCTGATTTATGAACGAGCTGTTGAGTTCTTCGGCGAAGAGAACATGGACGAGAAACTGTTCATTGCCTTTGCGAGGTTCGAAGAGAACCAGAAAGAGCATGATCGGGCTCGAGTCATTTACAAGTATGCTCTGGACAACATGTCCAAAGAGCATTGTACCGAGCTCTTTAAGAACTACACGATCCACGAGAAGAAGTTTGGTGAGAAGTCTGGGATTGAGAACGTTATCCTCAGCAAACGAAAGTATCAGTATGAAGAGGAGGTCAAGGAGAACCCTATGAATTACGACGCTTGGTTCGATTACATTAGACTAGTTGAGAGTGAGGGTAAGATTGACCTGATCAGAGAGACTTATGAGCGAGCTATTGCCAATATACCTCCGTCTAAGGAGAAACATTTTTGGCGGCGATATATCTATCTCTGGATAAACTACGCTATATTCGAAGAGTTGGAGGCCGAGGATATAGATCGAGCTCGTCAGGTTTACAGGGCAGCGCTAGACCTACTCCCACATAAAAGGTTTACATTCTCCAAACTGTGGCTTCTCTATGCACAGTTCGAGATCCGGCAGAAGGATGCTGACACAGCAAGAAAAGCTCTCGGAAGTGCGCTGGGGAAATGTCCTAAATCCAAGATATTTCGTGGATATATTGATCTAGAAATCCAGCTCCGGGAGTTCGGTAGGTGTAGAACCCTGTATGAGAAGTTCCTAGAATTCAACCCTGAGAACGTGCAAACCTGGATGAAGTTTTCCGAGTTAGAAACATTACTTGGAGATGTGGAAAGGGCCAGAGCTCTGTATGAGTTAGCAATTGGTAAGAAAACTAGAAATTATTACAATCTTCGGAGTTATAATAACTTACAATATTAGTTTCATTAATAAATATTGTTTATAGGTCAACCTAGACTAGACATGCCTGAGATTCTGTGGAAAGCTTACATTGATTTCGAAATTGAACAGGAGGAGACGGACCGAGCTAGGGATCTTTATAAGCGTCTTCTCCAGAGAACTCAACACGTTAAAGTTTGGTTGTCCTTTGCACAGTTTGAACTACAGGTGAGAAACAAAAAGCCAAGAATTAGTTATGTTCAAGGAGTTGTAAACAATATTTCAGGTGACCCTCCATTGATTGAGAGACAAGTCCGATTCACAGTTTTTTTTTCAAATAACTGAATATTTTTTTGGTGGATTTTTTTTTTACAAAAGTGACTTGCGCATTTCTTGCCTCAGAAACCATGGAGAAATAACCATTTTCAAGCTTAAACAAACCGACGTTATCTGTCACATTATTGATCAGATCACGGTTTCAAGAATAAATTTTCAAATGGAGGGTCACTTCAAATTACAGCAGTCACTTTAAGATGAAAAGTCCAGAAGTTAAAAGGTGTAAAATCTCTGCAATGGAACGTTTTTATTTTAAATTGAATAATGAAATTTTTTGTTTTAAGGTTGAGCACGAGGATAGGATAGCCGAGGCTAGACATGTTTACGAGGAGGCCAACAAGAAGCTCCGTCAGGGTCAGGAGAAGGAGGAGAGGCTGATGCTCCTGGAGGCCTGGAAGGAGTTTGAGAAGGAGGAGGGGGATGAAAAATCTAAAAAGGTGGTGGACGAGCTCATGCCCAGACGTGTGAAGAAGAGACGAAAGATCCAGTCTGATGACGGGATTGATCAGGGTTGGGAAGAATATTTTGATTATATTTTCCCTGAAGACGAAGCTGCCAAACCCAACCTTAAATTACTCGCGATGGCGAAAATGTGGAAGAAGCAGAAAGAAACCGTTGGAACAGAGGAAGAGGAGGTAATTTTTTAAAGAGGTTTTTTTCCGTGCCCAAAATATCTCTAACTTAGGTCGATCAGATGACGTCTTCGATTGTGAGCGTACAATTAATCTATATATCAGATAAAAATTTTGCGTGATCGACCAAACTACAATCGTCCCCCAAAGTACGACTTTAAGACGGGCGCTGTTCATACGTTATTAGGGAAAGAACCTGCTCCTGGGCTCAGTCAAACCTATAATGCATAAGGTTTTAGGGCTCTTTGCGGCCCTCTTTCTAGTAATAATTTTAGTTTTGAATGTTGCTTTACCTAAGAGCATATTTTTTATTGAATGCAGAAGGAAGATCTAGAAAATGTCAAAGGATTTTTCGAAGTGTTTACCATATACAAAACATATAATATCTTGCAGATATTACAAATTCCCCCCCCCCCCCAGGACTTTTGCGAAATTAAATTATCAGGAGATGATGTTTCATTTTTCTGACCGTCTTTCTCTTGGGTCATACATCTCACATAAAAATTGAGTTTGCTGGATCCTAACAAACCAAAAGCCAAAATTTTTATTTCATGCAAATATTTTATTTAAGGAATCTGAAAATACAGAAGTACCATCTGAGAAGGTTGGAGATAAAAGTGATACAGAAGCAGGAGAAAACATGGACGCAGACGATCCTTCAATCGTCAATGAGAGTGAAAGTGAGGATGAGGAGGAAAATGAGGATCAGGAGTAGATTCTTTTCTTGGATTAATGTATTGTACAAACGAATGAAATATTTTGTTACAGCATTTAGAGAAGACAAATTAATTGATTCCTGGAATTGTATGTTTGGATCTAATCAGCATGTTATTTCAGAAAGATGGCTCCCACCATCCAAAGACCGGGGGGTCCAGGAGTTCCTGCTAAAACTCGTCAGCAGGACGGAGAGGACAGACGAGCCGATCTGATATGTAGAGTGAAGTACTCCAATACACTACCGGATATTCCATTTGATCCTAAGTTCATTGCATATCCGTTTGACAGCCAGAGGTTTATCAGTTATAATCCGACAGGGTAAGCAGCGTTCTAGTTTTTTATCTATACGATAATGTACATTTTAAATGTTACGTCTCTCACGTCTGCAACAGAATCTACTTGACCGAATGGAACACTAAAACTGCTGAAAACATGTATATGATATACACATGTAAAATATTGTACTAATTTGTAAACGTATTGTCAGAAAAAAAAAACATATGAACTGTCGTAAAATTTTTTTTTGATGGGATTTAATATCTCTTTCTTTATGTTTCTCACACTGTCATACACCTGAAAATAAAAATATATAATTCGTATTTACTTATGGCTAAAAGCCCTTTTTTTTGATTTTTCATTTGGCCCCTTTCAGTTTTTAGTCTCTAAGATAATTGTAAAATTATTGAAAATATTAAGATGTGTACTAATGAAATGGTTTCAGGTTGGAGAGAAGTTATAAGTATGATCTGTTGACTGAGCATGATCTAGGAGTAACTATTGACCTGATCCTACCCGAAACCTACGAGATGGAACCGGGAAGCTCGGAGTATCTGGATCCATCAGATGAGAAACTTCTAGAGGAAGAATTTAATACCTTGCACGATAAAAAAAGAGCCATGAGACATTCCCAGGTAGACTTAAATCCAATAGGGTTGCAGCTAAACGCAGGAGACACTGTTGATTGAAATTAATGATTTAAATAGTTAAAAATAAGTGAATTTATTTACTAAAAAGGAGATATTTCCAATATGGCCCTAATTAACCATAACTTAAAGAAAAATTAATGACTTAATGTCACAAAATCAGTAAGTAGTTTTTTTGATGTGCTCTTAATTCACCAAATGACTAAAAAAAGTTATTGATGGAGACTTTAATATCATTTTGCAGTCATTCTCGAAAAAAAAAACATCATTTAACATTATCATCAAATTCATTCTTTGTGAGAATTTATAATTTTATGTTAACTTTTTGTTATAGCCGTTATCCTGGATGAGAAAACCTGACTACATCTCCACCGAGCAGACTAGGTACCAGCCAACTACTATCGAGAAGATAGAATCCGATATCGGGTTCCACGTCAAGAAAAAGATGAATGTCGACGACATGTACATGGACAAGGATTCCCAGATTCGTGCCATTGAGAAAACGTTTGATGATGCTCGGGAACCTATTGAGAAGCATCACAGTAAGGCCAATGTGTTTGCTGTTGAGGAGTATACGATACTTCCAGACTCAGATATGTGGAAATATCCCTGCGCTCAGGTGATCAATACTATTCAGCTTAACATAGAGTATTTTTTCCTACTAATTTCTTGAATATTCAATACTTAATACTTAAAAAAATATGCAGAAAAGCAAGGGTGTCGGTGAATGATTTTTCTCCAGAAAATATAGCCCTGTTCGTCAGTAAACCTTTAATTTTTTCCGAGATAAAAAATAAGCCTCATATGTTATTTAAACTTATTATCTTATATATGCCATTTTGTCATTCATTTATTTTTCTCATGCTTTAATCATCAAAATAGACGATTCTCATTTTCATGTTAAACCTACCTCGATCAGAAGAAGAATCCATATTTTTAACATATTATCTCATTAGGTAATATTTGATACTGATCCTGCTCCAAATGGTGTTGCTCCAGCCCAGCAAATGGAGATGATGGCCCAGGCCATGATTCGTGGTGTTATGGACGAATCAGGAGAACAGTTCGTCGCTTACTTTCTACCAACGGACGAAACCCTGGAGAAGAGACAAGAAGATTTCAGAAAGGTGAAATTGTGTTGTTTTCTTATTCTTTCATAAATTATGAAACGGACAAATATGGCATCTAAGTAAAAAACAGCAAACTAAGATTTAAGGCATCTTTAAATTTTGTTTTGATCTATTTTGGAATGTATTGATTAGTTGGTCAGGGATCAGATCTAATGAATAACAACTCATGGTTGAACTGCGCACAGGCGTGGTTCAACCACTTTCCCTTTGCTTGAACCGTCATACAGGATAAAGTCTACACGGTTTAGCTACTTAATAAATCTGGTTTGGAAATACAGAGTAACATTTTCATAATTTCTACACATTCAGAGGCTAGTATTTGGACAAATTCGACTCAAACTCGACAATTTTTTGTGTCACTAGTATATGTTTTATATGTTTTTTTTATCCATCAAGTTGACCCTGTATGGCATCAGAGATAAGAAGCAATACGAATTTTTGTTGAAATATTTGTTGCAGGATGTTGATTACCGTGAGGAGGAGGAGTACGAGTATAAGATGGCGAGGGAGTACAACTGGAACGTGAAGAGTAAGCAGAGCAAGGGATACGAGGAGAACTTCTTCTTCCTTTTCAGGTGAGTCGTTTCCACACTTTTTAATGTCAGCTGGTTTGATTTATTCTGATAAAACCACACTTTTAAAAATAATGCAAGATTTTTAAATTTGGTTTATTGTAAAGCAAGTTTTTGCCACAAACTCTGATTTTCTAATCCCCCTAGTTTGGCAACCCAAAGTCGTAGACCTATCGCAAACTATAAATTTGTTAGATCAAATAGTCTTAAGTTTGTATATCAGAGGTTTATACCATCAGGTTGCAAATATAATGGGATAAGAAATTTTGAGTTTGAGGCAAAGACTCCATACATTTTAAATTTGATTTGGTTTTATCTAAAATTCTTCTTTGGTTATTTAATTTTTCTAATTTTTATTTCTTATTCATATTTTTATACCTTCTTGTTAAAGATTAATTTATTTCTTTATTTGACATGAATTTGATATGTAGGGATGACGGAGTTTACTTCAATGAACTGGAGACCAGGGTTAGATTGAGTAAGAGAAGACTAAAGGCTGGACAACAGATTGGAAACAGTAAACTTGTTGTAAAGCACAGGAAAATAAGCAATAACATTTAATTACTCTTCATAAACTTTTCAACAAATTATTGATCAGTTCCCCGACATGTTGAATAATGATAAGCACTAAACTATCGTTCTTTCTTGATTATTTTTGACGGATTATTTTTTGTCCACTAATGATTGTATTTCTATGTAAGACTTATTTCTTATTTTATTTATTTCATTAAATCTTATTGCTGAACTCTCAGAGCCCTGAACAAACAAGAATTGAAGATGCAGAAGTACAGAGAGAGAAACCTAGAACATCTCCAGGAGGAGGACGATATGTCTGATGAAGAAGACGAGGATGAGGAGGAAGAAAGGTTGCCTGAAACCAGATCAAGGTCTGGATCCGGATCCAGGTCCAAGTCCAGATCACGCTCTGTATCCAGATCGAAATCAAGATCAGTTTCTAGGTCAAGATCTAGATCCAAGTCCAAATCAAGATCCGTGTCTAGATCAGTTTCTAGATCCGTCTCAAGATCTGTCTCCAGGTCAAAGTCTCGCTCAGTTTCCAGGTCTGTTAGCCGCAGTAAATCCAAGAGCAAATCAAAGAGCAAATCTAGAAGCAAATCTAAGAGCAAATCGAGGAGCAAAAGTCGGTCGGTTAGTCCTGCCAGATCGAAATCTGGGTCTAAAAGTCCCGCCAGGTCTAGAAGCGTATCTCGTGCAAGCAGCAGATCAGGCTCAGGGAGTCCCGGGAAGGCCAGCTCAAGATCCAGGAGTTCATCAAAGAGTGGTTCTGCCTCCGATTAATCATGAAGACGAACAATGTGTACAACGTATTTAACCCGTTGATGAAACGTAATTTAGTTGTAAAATTATATAATATTTGCAGGAACTATAAACTCATGCGTAAAGAATAGTTTCAGAAGAATGAATGATATAGTGATAGATAAATCCGTTCGGTCGGTCTTCGTTGGAAATATTCCGTATGAAGCTACTGAAGAGAAACTAAAGGATATATTTACCGAGGTAAATTAATATTTTTATATTCAGAATCGCGAACTTAATGTTGAGATTGAGCTAACCTTATGACTTAGTATAATAAAAAGAAATTTTGAAAACAGCTTTTCATATCCGTTTTATGCTGATTAATCCGAGAGGGAGAAAAGGGCTTAAAGGACCGAGTTTTATCTATTCAAAAGTTCCTATGTCAGAATTTATATGGGGCAGCCTTAGATCACATACCTTTGATAGTTTAAATGACATCGGCTCTAAATTGATATCGTAAAACTGTTCTACCCCTTGAAATAATGTTTAAAAAGAAAAATTCCTTAGAATTTATTTGTTAAGGTCGGCCCGGTAGTTTCGTTTAAGCTGGTTTACGATAGAGAAACTGGAAAACCTAAAGGTAGGATAAACGTAAATGAAAGGACCAAGTTCTTCTATACAATACAGGACTGTCCGAAAAAAAAGAAGATTGTAAAAATGTAAAAATGATCATCAGCATTCTGTATTATATATAAATATAAATTAAAGTATGAGGCCTAGAAGGAAAAATGTTACATCATGAAATAACTGAAATATAGAGCTTTCGAATGACACCTTGATCGTAAAAATTGAACGAAAATGGTTTCCTCAGTTTTTTTGAGACACCCTGTATATAGAGGTTTTGTAAATAATTTTTAAACGGTAAATTCTTTCGTGAATCTGATTTCAGCACTCATGACACTTGAACAATCAAAATCAAATCAAATCATGCTTTTAGGGACGTCCTACACCCACACCCCAAAATCTGTTATGTTGTCACTTCATGTTGTTCAACCTGTAAAGTATTGACATTGTGAATAGAAGATCGATCAAGTTTAAAGAAAACAAGTGAAGAATTGTTTAGACTCGGGAGGAAACTTTAAGTAGGGAACTCAATTTAGATGACAAAAAAATTTATTTTTGGAAAGGATCAATTTGAGTCTAATTAAAAAGAAATAATGATATTTTTGTTTTGTTTTGGGGGTGGTTATTTTTTGAGAATGTTTGGTAAATGGGTTGGGAGAAAATAGGTTTATCAAGAAGAGGTGAACCAAATATTACAAAATCATATAAACTTGAACGGGTTATTTTTAAAACGCAAGAATATTTTCCTTCCGCTTTATATTTAATTAGAGCTTAAAGAAACTAAATCTGCAAAACTGTTTAAAAGAAAAATCTTCAAAAACTACTTAGATAGATATGCAAGTTATATCTGTAAAAAAATGACTGTTTTTCATGTGGATAGACTTAGTCTTTGCTATCTTCTTCACCCTGTAATTCATAAACATGGAGAAGAACATTTCTCACTCTTTATTTAGAAAGTTCACTTTAGGGTTTAGATGTAGGATGAAGAGCGTCCTTAAAATTCTGATCGATTGATTGATTGATAATATACCCAATCTCCATAATAAATCAATTACTAGGATATGGATTCTGTGAGTTTAAAGACCCGGAGACTGCTCTCTCTGCTATGCGGAACCTAAATGGGTTCGAGATTGCAGGAAGAACTTTAAGGTCAGATATTCTCCATGGCGTGATATCCTCATGAATTCTTAATTGTTCTCATCGAACTTAATTCGTTTTGAGATTTCTAAACTTATTTAAAGCTGCAGTGTAAGCCTGTTTGGATTGGCGTTAGGTACTCATACAAATGCTTCTTCCTAAGCGGCAACTTCCCAAGGGTATTTTCTCAAGTGGTAACTTCCCAACTGAGCATTTTCCCAAGCGGCAACTTCCCAAGGGTATTTTCTCAAGTGGTAACTTCCNAAAGATGAGGAAAAGGCAACTTCCCAACTGAGCATTTTCCTAAGCGGCATCTTTCCAAGTCTGTTTTAGCCACAGCGAATAGGAAATTGTACATTTTGGAAGTAGGCACTTGGGATATGGTCACTTGGGAAGTCGCACTAGGGAAAATACTTAACACCTTTGGATTTAGCTGTTAGGCTTTTCTTTCATCCTTTCCTAACTCTTTAGGACTAAACATTAATGAAGAAAGAAAATCCTGGTAAGTGCATTTTCATAACACATCTTCTTTATTTACTTAAAGTTCCGGGGGGGGGGGCAGTTTTCAAAATGGGCACTTACAGTTCCTTTTTTATATTTATGTTGATTCTAGGGTTGACAATGCATGTACAGAGAAGTCTAGAATGGAGATTCAATCATTAATGCAGGTAACAAGCTAGAAATTGTTTATTTGTAGACTAAAGGAAGTATTTAATTTAGTTGGACTTTTTATAGAAGTGGGGGACGAGAAAAATATTTAATTTTTTAAAAATTGGTTTAATTGATGTATTTATGTTGTTGTATTACTGGTGTGAGAATTAAAACATCTCGATCTTCAGTCTATGTTGAATTAGGAAGCTACCCCGGCAGAAGAGTCTCCCTACGGTCCTCCGGTGGACCCGGAGAGAGCACCTGAAACCATTAGTAAGGTTAGAACCATGTCATGCCTTTCTAGATTTAAAATTTTTATTTAATATATTGTCGAATTTTACTTTCTCATTTAAAATAAGATTTTATGAATTGTAAAAATAATTTAATTTCTAATTTAAAAAAAATATTTTAGGCAGTTGCTAGTTTACCCCCCGAGCAGATGTTCCAGCTGATGCAGCAGATGAAGATGTGTATTCAGAATAATCCTCAGGAAGCGAGAGTCATGTTAGCTCAAAACCCACAGTTGGCATACGCTCTACTTCAGGCACAGGTTGTTATGAGGTGAGATAAATTAATCAGAATATTTTGGTTGGTTAGAAATTATATTTGATAATATTTCAGGATAGTTGATCCGGAAACCGCGGTCAACATGTTGCACAAGAATAATCCTCAAGTTCCTCCGTTAGGAGTTCCAGTCCGGCCTCCTGTATCTGTTCCGATGGGAGTTCGTCCCCCCGTAGTTCCAAGACCTGAGATCCCAATGGATCCTATGAGGATGGATCCTAGAATGGCTGAAGCTCCTGCCTTTACTCCGGATCGACCTGCTCCCTTCATGGAGGATCCCCGACGGGATCCCAGGAACCGGGATCCAAGGGAGAGAACGAACGGGTTTCCGAACATGAGAAACCCTCCTCCTGTAGTCCCGGGTCCAAACCTAGGGTCTAATGTACCTCGCGGACCTCCTCCCCAGCTCCCACCGCATCTGGCTGGGGCTGATCCTGAGAAAGCTCAGTTGATTATGCAGGTTCTCCAACTCACGGATGAGCAGATAGCTATGCTTCCGCTGCAGCAGCGGGAGAGTATTATGGTTTTAAAAGAGCAGATAAACCAAGGTTCACGGTGAACTAAGAGTCAGAGCTCGTCTTGTAAATATGTGTCTCCTAACCTCCTTTTATGATTTAAGTATCCTGCATTTGTAAACCATCCCTTCTCTTCTTATCCGTCTTTTGTAAACCTATGAGGTTTTGTTAATTCTAGGTAAAATGGCTGCAACTAAGGCTCAATCTAGTCTCTCACCACAGTCTGGAATGCAGGTCCTAATTTGAATAAGATCACCCTCTTATACTTTCCAAACTTTTACTTGAACTTTTCATTGTTCAGGCTGTTGATTTGACCAAATTGAATCTGATGCAGCTGACCCAATTCAAGAACGGGTTGGATACTGATATCCAGTTCTACCAGGAGTCAATTCAAAACCTTAAACATGCTCAAACTAAGTACGTAGAATATGTCAATATTCTATTTTGGTTTCAATAAGAAAAACTTCTATTATCTATTTTAATTCGTTAATGTGTTAAAAGTCATTTTTGGCTTTGATTAATTACTAATTGGTTGAAATATTTTAACGCCATAATAATCAAAAAATGCTGTTTTTTAAACGCAACCAGTTTTTACCGAACAAAAACTATGGATTAGATTTATTTTATAGTTTCTTTAATCAAGATTTCAAGAGTCTGGAGAGAGTATGGCCAGGATGAGTCCTGACGCGGAGGGAAAGGATATCCTAGTGCCTCTGACAGGTTCAATGTATGTTCCTGGTACTCTGGTTCAACCGGAGAAAGTTATTGTTGATGTAGGAACCGGATACTACGTAGAGAAGGATATCACTGCTGCTAAAGATTATTTCCAAAGAAAGGTAGTATTTTGTTCTATCTCTTTTAGAAATAGAATACTACTTGACCAGAGGGTAAAACTTTTTTGTCTGGAAGTGAATCTGTGGCAGGCAATTATATTATAACGAAGATGAACTTCGATTTAAATTTTGATTTGTATCCAACTTTTAAACAGCATGGATAGTGGATACAAACAAAGATAAGCAGTCAATTCAAAAAATTTCTGTTTAATTGCATTTAAAATTTTAATTCGAAAAAAACTTGTTAGCAATTAAAACTCTAAATAAAAAAGTTATCATGCTTCAAGCAATCCCTGTACGTACAATATGATTTTATTTTATTTACATTAATATTATGGCCGGCCGACTACCTTTTTGACAACGAAATCTTAGACGCAGGATAACTCAATGGTGCCAGAAATGGACAAGTTAAACCTCAATTTAAAAGTTTGTCCACTGGATAATGGGTTCAGTCTCTGAAGCTCAGCGAAATCCCAAACAAAAGTAATATTTAATTTTTTAAAAATTGGTTTAATTGATGTATTTATGTTGTTGTATTACTGGTGTGAGAATTAAAACATCTCGATCTTCAGTCTATGTTGGCCATTCAGTAGTTCAGCCATTCATCTAGTTTATTCTTGAAAATGTTCAGGTTCTTTGCATTTTTCACATCTTGTGGATGGTATTTTTAAATCTTGTGCTAAAAAAATTTCGGTATACAGCTGGAACTTTCAAGTTTAAAGGATATAATACTATCTATGCCATTCAAACATACTTCTAACCACACAAAAGATTTGTTAAAAATTATAACAAAATTGCATTTCTATGCCTTTTTCTTCAGAAAAGTGCAGTCACATTTTTGAACGATTTAAAGCCATGCTCAGACTTATAGAAAATACTAAACTTTGAAGGAAACAATTAAAACCGAATCTCACGGGAAAAATTGATGAATTTAGGAAGCTACCCCGGCAGAAGAGTCTCCCTACGGACCTCCGGTGGACCCGGAGAGAGCACCTGAAACCATTAGTAAGGTTAGAACCATGTCATGCCTTTCTAGATTTAAAATTTTTATTTAATATATTGTCGAATTTTACTTTCTCATTTAAAATAAGATTTTATGAATTGTAAAAATAATTTAATTTCTAATTTAAAAAAAATATTTTAGGCAGTTGCTAGTTTACCCCCCGAGCAGATGTTCCAGCTGATGCAGCAGATGAAGATGTGTATTCAGAATAATCCTCAGGAAGCGAGAGTCATGTTAGCTCAAAACCCACAGTTGGCATACGCTCTACTTCAGGCACAGGTTGTTATGAGGTGAGATAAATTAATCAGAATATTTTGGTTGGTTAGAAATTATATTTGATAATATTTCAGGATAGTTGATCCGGAAACCGCGGTCAACATGTTGCACAAGAATAATCCTCAAGTTCCTCCGTTAGGAGTTCCAGTCCGGCCTCCTGTATCTGTTCCGATGGGAGTTCGTCCCCCCGTAGTTCCAAGACCTGAGATCCCAATGGATCCTATGAGGATGGATCCTAGAATGGCTGAAGCTCCTGCCTTTACTCCGGATCGACCTGCTCCCTTCATGGAGGATCCCCGACGGGATCCCAGGAACCGGGATCCAAGGGAGAGAACGAACGGGTTTCCGAACATGAGAAACCCTCCTCCTGTAGTCCCGGGTCCAAACCTAGGGTCTAATGTACCTCGCGGACCTCCTCCCCAGCTCCCACCGCATCTGGCTGGGGCTGATCCTGAGAAAGCTCAGTTGATTATGCAGGTTCTCCAACTCACGGATGAGCAGATAGCTATGCTTCCGCTGCAGCAGCGGGAGAGTATTATGGTTTTAAAAGAGCAGATAAACCAAGGTTCACGGTGAACTAAGAGTCAGAGCTCGTCTTGTAAATATGTGTCTCCTAACCTCCTTTTATGATTTAAGTATCCTGCATTTGTAAACCATCCCTTCTCTTCTTATCCGTCTTTTGTAAACCTATGAGGTTTTGTTAATTCTAGGTAAAATGGCTGCAACTAAGGCTCAATCTAGTCTCTCACCACAGTCTGGAATGCAGGTCCTAATTTGAATAAGATCACCCTCTTATACTTTCCAAACTTTTACTTGAACTTTTCATTGTTCAGGCTGTTGATTTGACCAAATTGAATCTGATGCAGCTGACCCAATTCAAGAACGGGTTGGATACTGATATCCAGTTCTACCAGGAGTCAATTCAAAACCTTAAACATGCTCAAACTAAGTACGTAGAATATGTCAATATTCTATTTTGGTTTCAATAAGAAAAACTTCTATTATCTATTTTAATTCGTTAATGTGTTAAAAGTCATTTTTGGCTTTGATTAATTACTAATTGGTTGAAATATTTTAACGCCATAATAATCAAAAAATGCTGTTTTTTAAACGCAACCAGTTTTTACCGAACAAAAACTATGGATTAGATTTATTTTATAGTTTCTTTAATCAAGATTTCAAGAGTCTGGAGAGAGTATGGCCAGGATGAGTCCTGACGCGGAGGGAAAGGATATCCTAGTGCCTCTGACAGGTTCAATGTATGTTCCTGGTACTCTGGTTCAACCGGAGAAAGTTATTGTTGATGTAGGAACCGGATACTACGTAGAGAAGGATATCACTGCTGCTAAAGATTATTTCCAAAGAAAGGTAGTATTTTGTTCTATCTCTTTTAGAAATAGAATACTACTTGACCAGAGGGTAAAACTTTTTTGTCTGGAAGTGAATCTGTGGCAGGCAATTATATTATAACGAAGATGAACTTCGATTTAAATTTTGATTTATATCCAACTTTTAAACAGCATGGATAGTGGATACACAAGAACATGAAAACAAAGATAAACAGTCAATTAAAAAAGCTTCTGTTTAATTGCTTTTAAACTTTTAATTCGAAAAAAGCTTGTTAGGAATTAAAACTCTAAAAAATGATTTATTTTATATTATTTATATTGATATTATGGCCGGCCGACTACCTTTCCCGTTGACAACGAAATCTTAGAGCAGGATAAGTGCCAGAAATGGACAAGTTAAACCTCAATTTAAAAGTTTGTCCACTGGATAATGGGTTTAGTCGCTGAAGCTCAGAAAATCCCAAACAAAAGTTTTCTCCTGAGTTTCAAAATTCAGGAAATAAAGCTTCATAATTTTTCTATATCCACTATCCAGGTTAAATTCGTGACGGAGAATATGGAACGTGTCCAGATGATTGGCAGTGAAAAGGCTAAAATTAGGTAAGATATTTAATCATAAATTATTTGTTAGCTACTGAAGAAATTTAATAATTTATAAGATGATAGTAAAAAGGATAAGAAGTGTTCAAACTTTTATTTGATCAACGTATAATTTGAAAAAAACAAGCAGAAAGCTTAAATAATATAAACTAGGGCAAGGAGAAAAAGATAATCCAAGATAAAGATAAATAAGAGGGAAAATAAGAGAATTGAAAAGGATTCTAGAGAAGGGAAATATTGAGGAGATTGAATAAAGCGAACAAGAGGAGAACAGGAAGAGAAGAAGAATAGAAAAGGCAGAGAAGATGGAGAGAAGATGAAAGTAGAAATTTTAAACCCTGTAATTGAGACTGTACACTCCAATTCTGGAGTATCAGCTGTTTTCGGCACCCACACGTGGGTACATTGTGTTATACTCATACTTTTGAAGGTTAAAAGTCAATTTATAGTTTTGTTCAATTTTGCAAGGTATTAAGAAAGCTATTTCATGTTTAGGGATCTCGTGATGGACGTTATGCAGGAGAAACTTCAATCTCAGTTTTCACAGATGGCTCCAGCTAAAGCTAGCTCCTAGTTAAACCTTTAATTTAATGTTCGCCGCGTTATTTAACAATTTTATTAATTTTTCTTAACTTTACTTTTTGATTATAATACTCTTCGGTCTTTTTTTTACATTCTAATATTGAAAACTTTAATCCCTATAAATTTCAGAATGAATTTGAACTAAAATGGCTCCGAAGGGAAGAAAGAGGAAAGTATCGGAGTTGGTGGAAACCCCGGTTGATCCTGTTCTAAATGTGAAACCCTCTCCTGAATATAGACACTGGCTGATGAAATCGGAACCTGACTCAAGGAAGGAGAACGGAGTTGAGATGAAGTTTAGTTTCGATGATCTGAAGATGTCCGAGGGTTCCCGAGCCTGCTGGGATGGGGTTAGAAACTATCAGGCCAGAAATTTTATGAGAAATATGAAAATCGGAGACAAGGCGTTCTTCTATCATTCGAATACCAAACCTCCTGGAATTATAGGTAATTGTTCTTGTGAAATCACGATTCATACCTTTAAAGATCACCTCCCTCATGTGTATGGGGGGGGGGTATATGGGAAACGATTTCTTTTTCACTTTTTCCGCTATTTTTTTTGGTTAATACTCTGCTATCAAAATTAACGGTCTTTTAAGGCGTGTGTTCTTTTCAAAAATGTTGGCGCTAAAAACCAGTGTTTGGAACCTTATAATATAGACTAAACGAAATTTTAAGTAAACCTCCAGAGACAGAGGGGCATGTCCGATACTCAACAGGTCTCTCTCCGTAAAGCTTTCAGTTACTCTTGTTCGGTATATTCCTAGAGAACGATTTCTGGACCCCTCCTATCAATTTTGTACATGGATCTTACAGAAAGTGTCAACTTAACCTAACCCGTGGCCGCAGCGCTCGACCCCTAGCCCATCCTTGCCGCAGCGCTCGGCCCAGAAAGTGTCTTAACTAACCTAACCCGTGGCCGCTGCGCACGGCCCCCTAGCCCATCCTAGCCGCAGCGCTCGGTCCTGAAAGTGTCTTAACCTAGCCCTAAATAATGCCAAATAAATACTAATTTGGTCATGTACAAAATTGATAGGGGGGGGGGGGCCAAAAATCGTTCACTAGGATAGACCCCTCTTGTTCGTTCTTCTTTCAATAATTCTTTATTTTCAATTGGGGTTTCTTCTTTAAAGTAATTGCGTTTATTGAATTAAAATAACGGAGTAAATTCTGAGAATGAATGGCTGAGAGGGAAAAGCTGGTTGGTCAATGGTCACTAGGAATTACAACAGCAGTCCCTATCATAGGCAGTGTGTGTTTGGGGGGGGGGGGTTAAATTTGTTCGTCTTACTACGACCTAAATAAGGATATAAATAGTCCTGGAATTGTCTGTTGGAAATAACAAATGTAAATTTATTCAATTATTCATAATTTAGGAATAGTGGATATTGTTAAAGAAGCGTATACTGATCATACCCAGTTTGACAAGAAGGATCCACATTATGATCCTAAATCATCCAAGGTTTGTCTTAACTTATGGTTTATATACGAATTTAACTTTTGGCTCAAATGTAGATAGAACTCTAATTCATAAAGAAATCTTAAATTTTACGATTCATTTTGAAGGAATCGGAAAGCCCATTGAGAAACTATACAAAAAGGGGTAACTTTGCCTGATTTGAAATAAACTGCATCCCCCAAACAGTTGAACGCATCATAAGCAGATTTAAAAACAAGTTTGACCTCTGAGCCCGTTCTCTCAATAGATAGTCGTCGTGAAGTTCACGTACTTTGGGGGACGATAGTTTGGTCGCAAGATGTCTCGTATGAATTATCTATCTATCCGATAAGAATTTTGCGCGAGACATCTAGCGGCCAAACTATCGTCCCCCAAAGTACGTGAATTTCACTACCACTGTTTAAACATTATGATTGAGAGAACGGGCTCTGATAATGATCTATTTCTGGCCGGTATAAATTTGTTTCGTTAAGGATGCCCCAAGATGGGAGATGGTGGATGTGCAGTATGTCCGTACTACTCAGAGATATATCCCTCTAGACGAACTCAAGAGGATTCATCTTGAGCATAAAGCGAAGGGAGGACCTCTATCCAACCTTGCTCTCTTTACCCGAGCCCGTCTCAGTGTTCAACCAATAACTCAGGAGGAATGGGATTTCATCTTGTCTCTGGAGAAAACTGAACCCTAATCTTCATGTACTTAATTGAAAAGGCTGTGAAACATTTCCAAAATTCATCTTTACTATTTTATATGTAACTCTTTTAACCCATTCCAGTACATTTACCTAGTTCATATTAATATTAATGCACCAGCACAACTGATCTCCGTGAAACCATAATTTGACCTGATATTTCAGAGGAAAGATGCAGAACGAAGCCGGAGAATACGTTGACCTCTATATCCCCAGGAAGTGTTCTGCTTCCAACAGGATTCTGGCTGCCAAGGACCACGCTTCCATCCAGGTGATTTTTTAAGCTTGTCGTGTTTAGACCATGTTCTTCATCCGTCTCAATTTTCATCTCTATCTTCAATTATTGAACGAAAAGTAAAATCGGTTCCGCTCTTAAAGTGCTTGTTGAAAGATCTTCACATTTTCAATATTTTTTTTTTTTTAGATTAATCTGGCTGAGGTTGACGAGACTACTGGCAGGATGACCGGAACCAACAAGACCTACGCTATCTGCGGAGCCATCAGGAGGATGGGCGAGTCTGATGATTGCATCAATCGTCTTGCCAAGAAGGACGGAATTGTCGACAAGAAGTTCTAATTCTTGACGAAAAATATTTCTTCTTTCAGATGAAAAATGGAGAATAGTTCTCGTGCTGTGGAGGAGCGGAGATATGTTCACTTGGACCCGGAAACTGTTACTAACATTGCGGAGTCTCTAGGGATATCCAACCTTGCTCCGGGTGTTGCCAAGGAGCTAGCTCAAGATGTAACCTACAGATTACGAGAAATATCTGATGTCTGCTCCCAGTTCTTGCGTCACAGCAGGTCCGATCTTTTCTATTGCTTGCTTCTGAATTCAATTGTTCTTCTTTTCAACGTCTTATTTAGTAAAATCTTCAGTTTATATGTTTAGGAAAAGAAAACTGTCAACAGATATTCTCAACAAAGCATTCAAATGTAAGAATATTGAACCTGTTCTCGGACACAAGAAAAATACTATCCTTGGCTGTGATTCCTTCGAGTATTTACCCGAAGCCGAGGTTTTTGTTGAGTCTGATCGAGAGATTAATCTTGTAAACGAGAGTTTACAAGGGAATCCTTGTCTTCCGGAGTCACAAGTTACTCTCACGGCATCCTGGATTTCATTGCAAGGTATTATTTTCTCATCTATTTTGTTGAATTAATAGAAGTAATAAAATTTTCCTCCTTTTACCCCTTTAATCATCGATAAATTTTTATCTAAATTTTCATCATGGGAATTTGTTCTCTCTAATACTTTAAACGAAAATTCTTCATATTGTAAATATATCGTTGGCTTTTTTCGTTCTGTTTTTTTTTTCTCTTTTCCTTACTTCTATAGACCAAAGCTGTTCAGGTGTAGCACTGAAAAGCCCGCCGGAGGAGTGTCGAGTCAACCCTGCCAACAATCCTCTTACTCCAATCCAAGTTCAGTTCTACTCAAATATTACCAACAATATACTCGGTGAAAGCCATCAGCTTTGTCTACTCTCACTCCAGGTAAATTTTATATTATTTTTGAGGAGTTTGTCTACAGTAATTTAACTGTTTAACTAAAACTAATTATTAAAAACTAAAAATAATTATTAAGAAAGAATTTATGTGTAAACATTGTTAAAAAATGGATGAAAAGACAGGGTTGTTTTCCCTCTGTTTGCACGTCTGTCAAATTTTGTTCTGCTTAGCCAAATTTTGCTTCCCTGTTTTTGCAGGCATCTTTCTCCCGCTAATACACCAAAAAATCGTCGTGATTAATCTTTCTACGAATGAAATTATAAAACCAGATGGAAAGAGAAACGTACTAATTTTAAACAGTGGAAATCAAGCGGTATTGACGTTGTTTTTGTTGAGGATTTGCGAAGTAATCCCCGCCTGACTCCTCTCCTACCATTCCTGGTTAACTTCTCTAGAGTGTGTTTAAGCCGTTATAAGGAGAACTCACTCATTACTTCGAGAATAACTAGGTCAGTTACAAATTATTCAAATTGAACTTCTGACCTTGAGATGACACCAAATTTGATTTTTATTGTCGGAAGTAGTTGTGCTGCGTAGTATAAGTTTAACCACTCCTCTTGTGCGCTGGATTACAATAACAAGAAGAAAAGTTTATAAAATCCCAAGTTATTTTCTATAATACTGATGAATTTAGGTTAATATCTGCACTGTTCTCCAATCCACACATAAACCTATCTCCTAAACCCTACCTGAGCTACCTTGTCTCAGCACTGCTTGGGTTCCTCATCAAGGAGAACAAGGATCCCCAGTCCGCGGAGCAGGTTCGCCTCGTCTCATATGTTCTATCTCAGGCTCTCAGGCGGTGGGCCACCCCAACCAACCAACTGAGGTAGTGCATTGAAATTTCTCGTTTAATTTTTGGTTAATGTTTTGGTATTTAGGAGTTAATCTGAATATCCCAATTAAAGACATCTCTGGGTGTAGATTTTGGGGTCGATATATTCACTTTTTTAATTAATAGTATCTTGCCGCTTTTTTAAACTCTTCTGTCAGACTTTATCTCCCTTGATATTTTTTTTAATTTGTGATTTGTTTAGGGCACAAACTTTAAAAGCATTGAACGAGAACTGTGGAAACCATCTTTCTTATTCTCAGTATGGATCCTTAACCTCACTTTGTATACTCGGGCCTCAAGTTCTAGAGGTAATTAAAAAAACTATGCCTGGTCCTCGTAACAGTTCTTCAGCCCCTCATATTTTTGTCTACCTTGCGCTTTTTTATGTTTTTCAACATCAGTGACCGAATAGATGAATTGGATAGGTCGCTTATCTACCCACCGACGGTTCATATTGATTCAAATCTCCGAGAAACCTTTAAATCGGTGATTAAAGATTTGAAGGCGATAGGTAGTTTAGCGACCTAGCTCAAATGCAATAAATTCGGACCCAGGTTAGGTTAAGAGGTTTTTATTGCAACGCGAGGTTGCAATAAAAATAGTAGAAAAGTACGGGTGGGGTTCCGGAACCTAAACGAGTTTAAAATTTTTGTTTCACCGAAGAAAACACATTTTAATTTCAACTTTTTAGGAGTGTTTACTGCCGAACTTGGAAAGTCTAATTTCTAATTTGTGGAGTATATTGAAGCAGCAGAGTGAGTGTAAGAGAAAGGTTCGTAACGAACTAGGAAACTGGAGTCTAGGATTACTCCGTGTTGCTGGAACTGACCTGATCAAGTATTGGAAACAGACTAGGTCAGATTACAAATCTGTTAAGAACCTTTATACTTTGTTAGACGCATACTTCGGAGATTCTCTAGTTCCTTTCATCCCGGGATCAGGATGTGGAAGGATCGTTCCAACTAAAGATTTTGGAAAAATGAAAATTAGAAAAATTCAATCCTTACTCAATCCTTCGACATCCAAGCAGGAGAGTGGAGATACCTTTCGGGAGCCCCGTGAACTAGATAGAGACTTCTTCTCTGCACAGGAGAACTTTAATTTCCTCGCCGATATGGGGGTACCTAGTGATATTTTCGAATCCAATGATCTTGTATCTAATGATAGGCAGGAGAACGATTTCAGCGGATATTTTAAACCACGGACAGTAAACCTATCCAAAGGGTTGGGTTCAGCCTTTCCAGACATCCAGCAGTTTAAGTTCAAGGCTAGAGCTATCAAGCTGAACCTAGGACCTTGTAAACAGTTGGAACCTGACAGATATACACAGGTAGTTAACATTTTTTGGGTTATTCATGAATTTTTCACAAATTTAATGTAAATGAATCTTTTAAAACATCTTTTTCCTGAATATTCTGTTAAGTCTGAAGTAAAGAGAAATAGCTTTTTGTGTTATTTTCAAGTCTGAAGTAAAGAGAAATATCGTTTTGTGTTATGTTTTAAGTCTGAAATAAAGAGAAATAGCGTTTTGTGTTATTAAGTCTGAAATAAAGAGAAATGTCGTTTTGTGTTATGTTTTAAGTCTGAAATAAAGAGAAATGTCGTTTTGTGTTATGTTTCAAGTCTGAAGTAACGAGAAATAGCGTTTTTGTTATGTTTCAGCAAAAGGAACTAAGTCTTTGCCACAAACTCAAATTTTCTAATACCTATTTTTTTTTCAACCTGATATCGTTTGGTATTTCAAACTTAGATTATTTGATATAATATGATTCGTAGTTTGAAATATATAAGGACTTTGGGATGCAAAGATATTGAGATTAGAAAACAAGAGTTTGTGGAAAAAACTCAATTCCTTAAGACAATAATTTGGTTTTTATAATTAATCTCGATTTTATTATTGTTTAGAAGCGACAAACTGCTGGTGAACGGGGTAGAAGATTAGTTCCATGGAGAAACCTTGCAGTGGGGGGTAGAGTTGGTTCTAAGAGTAGACGGAGCAATATTCCAACTCTTTACATCCTTCCAGACTACATAGATGTTCTCAGATACTTTTAGAGTAGACGGAGAAATATTCCTACTCTTTACATCCTTCCAGACTACATAGATGTTCTCAGATACTTTTAGAGTAGACGGAGAAATATTCCTACTCTTTACACCCTTCCAGACTACATAGATGTTCTCAGATACTTTTAGAGTAGACGGAGAAATATTCCTACTCTTTACACCCTCCCAAGTCTCCCAGTTTGCATAGATGTTCTCAGATACTACTCGAGTAGACGGAGCAGTATTCCTACTCTTTAAACAACTACATTGATGTTCTAAGATACTCCTGAGTAGTTGAGAAATAACCTCAAAAGATCAAATATATAAATTTATTTTATTTTATTTTCAATGTAATCTCAGTTATGTGATAAGTATTTGAGTAACATTATCTATTATATTATGTAAATTAACTAAATGAAATGAAAACTGTTAAATTTTATTATTGTTCAGTTTGTTCGCATTGAAATGCGCAAATGTTACATAAGATTGTTGTTAATGCTAATAGGGAAAGGAACTTCTAGAATTGAAATAAGTGTAGATTTTATGTTGATTGGTGAATCTGTTATTTATGATAATTTAATTACAAGAAAAATGAGTAAATACATTAAACCTCTGGAAGAAAAATGTTTTTTTTGGGAAAAAATGGAGATTCTGATTGTAGACTTCAGTATTTATGACTCCTAGTTATATACTTTGCTTACCTGTTAGTTTGTAACAGAAAAGCGTCAAAACGGCTGAACCAATCGGACCAGAACTATTTATGGGACCTCACATAATCCCAGTTAAGGTTTATTTTGTAAAAAATATGTCTGATATTTTTTCACGTTTTATCTTAATCGCAAAACGAATTGTTATTAAGAGCATTAACGTTAAAATCGCAAAGGGGTGACAAGCGTCCTGGAAGCTTAGTTTCATACACGGAAAAAGATTATGACATGAAAATAACATTTATAATTCCTTAGTTCGACTGTAAGTAAATTGGAAAATGTGTGCCAATAATTTGCGTTGGATGAGTTTTTAATCATCAGTGATGCAATGACAGCTTGAATATAGATATAGGGTGTCTCACAAAATATGACATTTAATAAACAAATCTTATGCCTAATAATATTTGACTTTGAAATCAATTTTAATACAACATGACTCCTATATAATATTTTTATTGATCTTTGGTATCACACAGATCACACAACTTGACTAATAATGGAAAAAGACATTCTGAACTATTCACCAGCTGTCATGTTTCGTGGGACACCTTGCATAATATCTATAGTTCCAAGATTGTTTTATTAGTTTTTGGCCTAGATTTTTTTATGAGGGTATCCTCCGATTTTCGCAATTTTTTTAGAGGTCCCCAATAATGAAGGAAATGATCATGTGAAGTTTAATTTTTGGATTTTAATTGTCATTGGAGCTAGAGCTTTTTAACTGGATTTTAGTACGTTCTTCAAATGTATTGTACTACAGTGAAAAATTGTCAAGACGACATTTGATAAATTCTTCCGATGTATTCGTTATTAAGGGTTTCACTGTATAGAAAAAGTCGTTGTTGGTAAGTCAAATTTTTAAAATTTCCCAAAATCAAGGTTGAAACGCTCTAGCCGAGCCTCAAATTTTGGATTTAATGTTTATTCTAATGTCATCTGGTGTGCAAAATTTAAAGAAAAACCATGACAGCGACTTCCATGGGGTGGCTGACTTGGTAAAGAATGACCCAACTACCCGCCTTTATTTTTATATTTGGTGTTTACAAATTATTTGTTACTGAAAAGCTTATTTTCCCAAAATCAATAAGAATTTTGATTTCTTAAATCTTGTGTGTTATGACGCTCGCTGTATTCAAGCATCTGATTTAAAAATAATATGCGGCAGAGTCGCATTATCAAATGTTAATGTTATCAAACATTCATGTAGTTGAAGCAGACCTAGAAGAGACCTTGACCGAACCGTTCTTTCCGGAAATATTCATTTCGGATTCGTTAAGACGTTTTCTAGCTGCAACTTCCTGGCCTGACTATCCTGGAAATCGCAGCTAAATCATTTTAAGTAAATACCTAGAGGGCCGGGAAGCGGATCGGATATCAGATCTAACAAAAAATTCAGTAAATCTTATGGAAACAACCTGGATCCGGATCCGCATCAAAATTAAATGGATCTTAAGCACTGGTTTATGGTTAATAAGAATTTAAAGAAGAATCATCAGATGTAATCTAAGAGGTGACCTGACGGGTTTCTTGCAAGCAATAAGATTCAAATGAAGACTTTTTAACTTAGCTTTACTATACTTTCTGCACCAAATATGATCTTGACTAGCAAATTAAGTTGTTGTCGACCTTTGCGTTAGTTAAACTTACCATTACTAGAAACTCAAGGCGCTTCGCGCCCTTCTTTCTAGGCTTTTAGGGCGCTTCGCGCCCATCTTTTATTTAAATTGTCAACATGTTCTTATTGTTTACATTTTAAACAAAGAAGAAAAAAATTTTGCGGATTTTTAAAAAAAATTCGCGGATTTTCAAGAATTTTTTTTTTTACAAAATTAAAAACCTTTAAAACACATTTTTTTTAATTTGTATCATACATAAACCTTCCTTGTGGTCACGTGATGTCACACAAAATTTTTTTGCCCGATCGGTTAAGCCGTTTTGACGTTTCTTGGATACAAACAAACAGACAGACAAGCCAAATTTTTATATAGATTTTGGGTTTGTTGACAAGTTAGATGTTACTATATTTTTAGTCATATTCAGCTCATTGTAACAAAAATCTTGATGAATTCTATGTCAAATTTTATACTTATTTAAAATTGGGTCGACTAATAGATTTTACGGATTTTTTATCACCTTTTGTGGGAAACATTAATTGGTACGATCTCTAAATTAAACTATTTATGAAGAAATTTAGTGAAAGGCTTTAACATTAGTACTAATAGATAGTCAAAATGTTTCTGTAAGTGGAGTGTAACATAAGGGGATGCCATGACGAAGGAGATCTCAGAGAGAAGAGCTGAATCTGCTCCGGGTTTACTCAATAAACTCCAGGGTTCAACACTCCGGATTCTAGAGGACGTTTTTCAATCCTACGGAGAATTTGTTGCAAGACATCCTGTCATAGGTAAATTAACATATGCCCAATTTGCATAGTACAACCAGGGGTCGTCTCAATCTATATTTAGTGCCCTTGCTGAGCGTGACAATATATTTTACTACGGTTGTATCATGGCAGCACGAATAAGAAATTGGCCAATAATTCGTTTTCTTAAAATTCTCGTTTAAAGATATTTGTTTAGGTTTATTTTTTCTGTTCAGTTTCGTTTCAAACCTCGTCAGAGCCATGTCTGTAGATGTACAAATTCCGCTTGCGTCTTATAAGGAATACCAATTTAATTGGTTCTTTTATTTAACAATGCGCGTAGCATCGATCTCAAATTTTCATTTTTGGAAAGAAATAACAGGATGCAAGGGTACGAAAACTTTAACCTTGATCAAATACTATATTAGTAAGATCATAGAAATGGAGAGTGGATCCCCCCTCCTCAAATTATCTACCGATCTTAACCTAACCTTGACTAACCTGGAATATTGTGTGAGGGGCCGGGGGTCTTTAGTTGATAAATTTCATCTGACCCGTTATATTGACTCCTATATTTTCAGTGATATTAAGTTGTGTGGCTCTAACTTGTGTGTGCGGAGGGGGACTATATTGGTTTAGGGAATTCATGCAGAAGAGTAAAAGCCGTTATTTTACATTTTTTAACAATCTTAAATAATTAAAAAGATTTTTGTTTAATTTTTAAAAATTCAGATATATAAGAACCCTTTTTAAATTTTTTAAAAGTAACAAAAAAAATTGAATTTTGACGTCTCATAACCACCCTCTAAACTTAGACAATCATATTGAAAGGCAAGACCTTTGAATAGTACAGAAACAAAATAAATTTTATTTCTAACAAAGTTCTCAACATTTACGAAGGTTTTAATTGCACTCAGGCTCAAAAGCTTAAAAGAAGTTTAAGTTAAGTGAATCGCTATTTTTTTGGTAAAATCTGGAATGCATGATTTTGAGCAGAGCTGAGAATGAAGGAGTTAAACTATGGATCCCATATAACTCCGACTACAGGCTAAATAATGATTGGATGTTTGAGAATTATCCCAGGGATCTTAGATTCAACAGTCTTATCCTCACAGGAGAGAATGTACTTACAGCTCAGGTTCTTAGAACTATGTATAGGAAAGATTTCTTCTCAGGAGCAATTTTCAATTATTTTAGTTTTACTTAGAGGTTGGAGATAAGAAAAAACATCATATTTTCTAACTATTTTTTTATTTTTATTTTGGCATAATATATTTTTTTTATGAACGACGAAAATTGTTGCATTCATTAAAAATTAAGTTCCTGAGAAGGAAATGCACAAACCTAGAGTGAGTAAGTCTATCCGAACAATGCGGAATATTAACAACGAGACCTGGGACGATCATTGTATGAAGAGACCTGTGATTAAAGTTCCGTCATTGTTCGATATTTTCGGCCGGAAGAGGAGGGAGATTAAGTTTGATGATGATCTGTTCGGAGACGAATTTGACGAGGAAAAAGATACAGTTATTACTGATCCACTTAAATTAGCAACTCAATTTAGGTAAATTCTTAATATTGAAGTATCCGGCGTTGCCCAAGGTTATAGAATTATGCATTATCATAGTTACACTCGCCATTTACCCGCGCTTGGTATTTAATCCTGAAATAATGTGAAATTCAATTTTTTTAATGTGTCAACCCTGGTGAACTAACGGTTCCCTCAAAAATGTTTAGATTATTAAGTCCATTCGTCTTTCCAGTTCAAGCCAACATTTAAATATATATATAATTATATTTATAAATAAATTAGTAATGAATCTCATTAAGAATTTAAATTCTAGTATTGATGAGTATCCTGACCCGTACTGTGGAATAGTGACCGGCATGCCGCTAGCTTGCATGGAGTTGAGTATTCTAGAACTGTTTGGACAAGGAGGAGATTATGATGAGAGAACCGACGATGTAATGGAGACACTGACAGATGAAATAGTTCTAGATGTGATCAATAATAAGAACGTGAGCGGAATCTTTCTCACCCCTTATAATTTCACAAGTTATTTATCTAATATTGAATACAATACACAAGGTGAAATTATCGGAGCAAAGGCAACCTACATTATCTGGTTAGGGAGGATGAATATGACCGAAGCTAAATTGAACCCTGCTCCGGGACGAGGTGAACCCATCTCCATGTCTATGCTGCAATGGGAAGGAGATATGTTGGAGGTTATGCTCAACAAATCTGATTATCCGAAAGGATTAGAATCATTTCCTAATGTTGCGCGGAGTTTTGGAGATATCGCCGGTTCAACAATCATCGGAGATATCACATTCTTTGTTGCCGGGTATATAATGATGTTTACCTACGTTCAAATAATGTTGGGTAAATTCTCCTGCGTAGAGCACCGAACCTACCTATCTACAGTAGGGATATTAGGGGTTATCATGGGGATAATAGTTTCCTATGGTATTTGCTCCGCTGCTGGTCACTTCTATGGTCCTATGCACTCAGTTATGCCGTTCCTCATGTTAGGAATAGGCATAGATGACATGTTTGTCATCATACAGTGCTGGGACACCCTCTCTGAGGAGGAGAAGAAGGAGAACTTGGTCAAGAGATTTGGATTTCTAATGAAGCAGGCTGGAGCAGCAATAACTGTTACGTCAGCAACTGATGTTATAGCTTTCGGGGTCGGAGCATTCACTATCCTTCCAGCTCTTCAGTCCTTCTGTATATACGCAGCCGTAGGTATAGTCGCAACATTTGTTTTCCAGTCTTCATTTTTCCTTGCTTGGATGAACCTTGATCAAAGAAGGATTGAATCCAATAGAAACGGTTGTTGTCCCTGCTATGTACACCCAGAAACTAACAATCAAACCCAAGAAAGAAAAGGTGCATTGCAGAGAGTATTTAAGAAATATGCCGAATACCTCATAAAAACCCCAGTGAAGATTTCTGTTCTACTCGTAGCGCTTGTTTTAACTGGGTTCGGAGTTTACGGAAACGTTCTGCTCCGACAAGAGTTCGATCCAACCTGGTTTCTTCCCCAGGATACTTATATTGCACAGTGGTTCGTCAACAATAAGATGTACTTTCCGTCCTCAGGAGAGCGAGGAACTATTTATTTCAGCGGAACCGAGTTACCTGCGGATATTGATAAGATTGAGAAACTATCCCAGGATCTAAGAGAACAGACTGATATTATTGTTAAATCTGACGCCTGGACCCGTCCATACATAGATTATCTTCAGAAACTTAACTACACGGAGAAACCGTCTAAATTAAACAAGACGGCATTCAGATCTTCTCTGTCTCAGTTCTTGTTTAGTCCTGTCGGAGCTGTTTATAGGAACGGGTTCAATTTCAAGGAGCAACTGGAGTGTGGAGAACTTGCTTCTGAAGTTCAGCTGAGTGAGATTACGTACACACACAGGTATATCTTATCTTACATAATGGAACTACGTAGGCGTAATTTATAGACTGGCATGCTCTATACACAAGGTACCCATAAAAGCTTTGTCTGACCAAGAATGCACGAGATATCCATAATTTTCTTTTAAAAATTATTTATTTTCAATTGTGGTTTTACATATTGACTTGATTCAGAAACCATCGTGAAATACTTACGACCCTTTTTAAAATTAAATCTTCTGTCCCTTTAAAATTAAATTAAAGTAATTATTTTAATCTAGGTTGATGAACGGTCCAGAGGAACATGTTCCAGCCATGAACCGAGTCAAGAATATTATTGAATCAGCAAATATATCTGGGAAAGTGTTCGCAATGGCCATGGGTTACGCTACGTGGGAAACTGACGAGATCATATCTTTAGAAATCTACAGAAACATGGCGCTGGCCATTGTTTGCGTGTTCATTACAACCTTGCTCTTCATCAGCAACCTGGGGGGATCCTTGCTTATCCTGGTGTGCGTTTGTTTAACTCTGGTTGATGTTGGAGGATTTATGCACTTCTGGGGACTCACAATAGATACTGTCTCATGCAACAACCTCATCATAGCAATAGGCAAGTTTTTTAAATTTTAATCTAATTTGATTTTTTTAAGGAATTAAACATGATCAAAACCTGCATGCCTTTTCCTCATTATAGATTGTATTCTACTAGTTTTTAACAAACCAAAAAATTTTGCAATAATGTTCTTGAATTTCGCGATCACTACTGTTTACAGGTTATATTACCTTATTTGGTTTCATTTTCCTCCTCAATTAAAATATTCATTCTTCTTGCCTTCCCCCTTTCTTATTAACAACTTCATGTTATAACATATCAAGTTATATTGCAGGATTATGTGTTGACTACTCGGCTCACGTGATGCATCGGTTTCTCACTGAACAGGGTCCGCGGGAAGACCGTGTTGTCCAAACTGTCTCTAACATTGGTCCTGCAGTTTTCAATGGAGGAGTTTCAACCTTCCTCGCCTTCGTCCTGCTGGCCACCTCCAGATCTCACGTCTTCTCCAGCTTCTTCAAGATCTTCTTCCTGGTAGTTAGTTTCGGACTGTTCCACGGGTTGGTCGTGCTCCCAGTTATACTCAGCTTTATTGGTCCTGATTCAGCACACTACACGCTAGTAACCAGGACAGATATTCAACTCAAATCCAAAGAAAAAGAAAATCCTGGGGAAATAGCTCTTTAGTCTTGCTCCAGGATATGATCATTTACTCATTATGTTTATTTGTTTTGTTTATTAGTTGTTAGTTTAAATCTGTTTTGTTATTTGTATGATCTGATCTTAGCAACTTACAGGGTATTATGTTATATTTCTTGTGTGCCGTCTTTCATGAAAATTTTATCTGAAAGGTTGGTGAAACGAGTCCATTCAATTTTGAGTCCAATGCTTAGGGTCCAGAACATTTTGGCTTCCAGCTGATCCGATTCCGAAGCATTTGAACAATCTTCACAGTTTACACAAATCAAGTTCTACCTATAAGTTCTGATTTATGGTTTTTCAAACGTAAGTAGACATTATATTGCTTGGGACACGACAAACCAACCTTTCAACCCTCTCTCGCACAGAGTTAGTTAAACAATTATTGAGACTGATACTTTTTTTGCGAAATCTCATTTGTAACTTTTTTGTCAAATGTTTATACAAACCAGTCACTTCTAGCCTTGGCAATTGACAACTGTCTTCATTACATTATTTAAACTGAGAGCAAACAAGTAAAAAATCCAAGTTTATTTTCTGTAAATCTCAAATTAACTCAATATGTGGTATCTGGAGTTATATATATGTACGGGTTTCACGGGATAAATTAGAAGACATTTTCTTCTCCAAACACTGAAGACCTGAGGTCTGGAACTATATATTAATAGTTGATCTATTTCCTTAGAGTTGCCCATTCACTTTACCTAGTAAAACTACTTGTCGATATTCATTTAGTTTAGTCTAGAGACTAAAACCTGTACTAACCCTTGAAACAGGACATTTCTCCAGTAGACAAGGATTGGAGATTTTCTTCAGGTTTATTCTACGTTAGGACTGCTGATTAGTTACTATTATTATTACTGTAATTATTCTCATAACTAGACAAAAAACTTTCTCTAGCATTTACTTTCAATTTTTAGACTTTTTAGGTATACCAAAAGACCAGGGAACTTTTCTCCAGCCCTAACACTAGTCCCCGAGTTTTTTTTTACATGAACTGGACCATTATTAGGAACTTAACTTTGAGAATAGATTGCATGCATAACTAATGAGCTTAATACGGTGAATATATCCCTCCATATCAAGGAAAGCCAATGTCAGGTTCGGCCAAAGAAATGTTCTCACACCTTTCATTCTCAGCTTCAGTAAATTATTTCAAGACATTTTACTTTACCAGGAGTATATTTCCAGATACTCTCCTTTTGGTTACAAGAATATCATCAGGTTGTATACTATATCAGGAGAATATCTCCAGGTTGTATAGTAGATCTGGAGAATATCTTTAGGATGTATACAATATCAGGAGAATATGTCCAGGTTGTTTACAAGACCAGGAGAATATCTCCAGGTTGTATACGAGATCAGAAAAATATATCCAGGATTTAGACTAGACCAGTAGAATATCTCCAGGTTGTATACTAGATCAGGAGAATATCTCCAGGTTTTATACAAGATTATGAGAATATTTCCTGGTTATATACAAGACCAGGAGAATATCTCCAGGTAGTTTACAAGACCAGGAGAATATCTCCAGGTAGTGTACAGGATCAGGAGAATATCTCAAATTGGTATACAAGAACATAAGAATAACCTTAAAGAAATTAAATAAATTAAGTTCATATTTTTCTTTTGCTTTGAATCATCTGATGTTCTCCAGGTATCAAACTGATCTGAACGATTTTCTACGATCTTTTATGTATTTATGTTAAAACAATCCCAGTAAAACACATTTGTAATATTGTTAGGTTTAATAAAATAAGAAATAAAATGAAATATATATTTTTATATTTCAGATGATCCAAATCTAGGTTAAAAATGTCTGTATCTAGTCCGGAGAAGACGAAGGTTTATAAGAAGAAAAGAAGTTCCAAACAGAGTCTGTTTTCAGGTAATACAGAAGTAAAGTCTATGTTTCACATTTTCTTGTCAAACAATGTTGGTTGAAGGGTTTACAAAAGATTTTTCATTTTAGATGGATCTAATAATAATAATAATAATAACTAAAAATATGTAAAGTGATTTATATTACAGAAGCTAAACTGGAAAGGGTGAGTAAAAAACTGAAGCTTGACTTTGCTTCCGACACTGAAGATACAGATATCGATGACTTCGAACCCTTACCACCATTAAACCTCGAGAAGATCTATATTAAAGGAACACACTCCAAGAAGGAAAAATCTGAAGAGGAGAAAAAGTTGTACCAGGAAGAAAAATTGAAGAAAGAAGAGGAATTGAAGCTCGAGGAGAATGAGTTGAATATAAAGCTGGAGAAATACCGAGGGACGGGAGTAGGTTCGCTGAGTGAGGAGGAGTGGTTGAAGATGACCGAACTTGGAGATAGGTTGGATGAGATCTATAGGATACGGTATATTGAGGCGGAGTTCGGAGATGGTTTCCTGGAACAGGAGGTGGAGGAGGAGGGGGAACTAGGTACGTGATGTATGCGATGATGATTAACAATATTTTGTGAAATTCCTTTGTCTTTATTTCGATGGAGGGGGGGGGGGCAACTCTCAACAAGAATTTTTTAAAAGTAATCCTACCACACACATAATCAATTTTTTCAGAATTCCTTGGTTGCTGTGATAGAGAGTTTAAGCGATCAGATATATCAGACGATGAAGCAGTTCGTGAGTATTCTGTAGTTGTATCTGAGGAGATCTGGGAGGATGGTGATGATGATGATACTAGACCTACCGAAGATGTGTCACTCAACAATATTGCTGAACCTAAAGTTGAAGAGAATAGAACAGTTGCCCCAGCTCCTGTCTATGCTAACTTTTCAGTATCAGTTAAATTGGATAAAGTTTTAGAAGATTTATCTGACAGCGATGATGAAGATTCAGCTGTAATAGAGAAATCTGAGAACCTAGATCAGAATGAAACCATGAATAAATCTGATGAGTTAAGCCCAGTATCTAGTCCCTTATCCCTTCAAGATAAGAACTGTAACACTACGAACAAAGACGAGATTGATATGAGTATGTGGGATCCGTACGAAAATTCGAGCATTGGGTACTTTCTCGTTGCTCATTACTTAGCTTGCAGTAGGTGGGCTAAGATCAACCGACTGGATTTAAACTTCACAGGAATTGTTATGTCAGGTACCGAATAAAAGAAGAAATTAAGTATTTTAAATTCTTTTTGAAATTTTTGTTTTGAAGTTGAGACCAGTTGTCTGTTTGGTCGGGATATGCTGAAAGAAAATCCTCTCCTGGATCCTAAACACTCCAGTTGTGTTCTAAATCCTTGGAAGATTCGAAACCACAAAAATGCTTTAGCTCATTCTACTGCTGGATTGGAAATGGATCTAGAAGGACGGAAAATGATCACTGCTCCAGTTTGTGTTAATTTCTGGACATTTCTTACCGCGGATGATGGACTAGAAGATGTCCCACTGGTGAGATATTTGAATTCATAATTGTCATCCAATTTTTAAGGAACGTAACTTACAGTGACCCTCCGAGGGTCCATGTCCGATTCACATCTCTGGTTTTGTCTGATCATGAACGAAAAAGATATCCATGATTGCTCTTAAAAGGTGAAGCAATGATTGCCCTTAATAGGTGAAGCAATGATTGCTCTTATAAGGTGAAGCAATGATTTCTCTTATAAGATTGAGCACTGATTGCTCTTAAAATGTGAAGCAATGATTTCTCTTAAAAGGTGAAGCAATGATTGCCCTCCCTTAAAAGGTGAAGCGATGATTGCTCTTAAAAGGTGAAGCAATGATTTCTCTTAAAAGATTAAGCACTGATTGCTCTTAAGAGGTGAAATAATTGTAGGAGACTAGAACTTCACACTTTATATATATATATAAAACGACGATATTCAAAAAAGTATGATAAATATTTAATAGGATTTCTCTTTTTTTTGGGGGGGGGTAGTTTATGCCGAAGAATCTTTGATTCTTTGAAAGTTGAGATATCCAATTTTAGATAAAACTTAAAATTCAGATTTAATGTAACAATGTGAATCTTAGAATGAACTATTTTATTGGAGAGAAACTTTGCTGTTCCTTTAAGTTGTTACACATACCAAGAGTTTTCAGTCTTCACATGAAAATAATTTTAAGTTTTAAAAACTTTCTCCTACCATAGGAGTTTGGAGATGGTTGGATTGAACTAGTTGACGTGTTCATGCAAACAATCAATCCAGAGACATATGCACCACCGTCCGTTATACACAGGTAATTGTAGAATTAAGATTATTTTTAATTTTTTGAACAAATGGTTAAGATACGAATCATGTTAAAAGACAACATTTTTAACTTTCATTACTAATAAGGTACAAGCTATATATAAAACCTCATTCTTGAACTAGTAAATTCATTTCGAGTTTGGGAGAAGCTGAGCTGAGCTGAGCTGAGCTGAGCTGAGCTGAGCTGAGCTGAGCTGAGCTGAGCTGAGCTGAGCTGAGCTGAGCTGAGCTGATTTGATCTGATTTCACACATTTTTGTTCTTGTTTATGACCGTGATAAGAATAACTTCTTAGTGGATTTTCTTTAACAATCAAGTGAAAATAAACAATGAGTACAAATCGTAAGACCTCACTTCATTTAGTATAGTCACTTCAATTTTGGTGTGTGGGTGTAGGACGTCCCTAAAAGCAGAATTTGAATTTGATTTGATTTGATTTGATTTGATTTGAGTAAACATATTAAAGGGTCTGTTATTGTAATTCCAAGTGACCTTCCATGCAGACAATGCCCGATATACAACGGGTAGTTAAAAGCTTTTGAGATATGGATATTTTTGTATATTTAAACTGTGGTTTTTCTGCAAAGTGACTTTTCTTGCTTTAAAAAAATTGAGAAATTCACAGAAATAAACAGTTTTCGAGTCTGACAAACAACATTTCTTCCACATTTTTTACCAGACTAAAGGTTTCAAGGGTACCGTTTTAAACTGAAGTTCGTGTTTAATTACGCTTACAGTCCCTTTAAGGTAGGATTTATTGTCTTTAATCATAAAATGTTAAAACAATAAAAACCAGTTAACCATCGTTCCGCGGAAATTAATCCCGATCCCCTATAAAAAATAACAGCATTAAAAGCGGAAATTAATGTTATGGTTGGCAATGAAACAAGTCCAGTACAGTGTGTGTCAACACATCGAGAGGGAAGTCAAAATTACCTGAGTCACAATCATATTGATTCTAATTTATGTTCTGTTAGTTCTCTAAATTAAATCCTACCTTGCGGGTCCCTCCCAGGGTTTTCCTTATCAGTTTACCAGTTTGAGATTCAAAAAATTTCTCGGAAATACGTCTTTTTAGGATAATGATTGAAGGGTTGAGAGACTATCCTGAACCGTTTGTGAGATATATTGTTTACTCAGCTCTCGACCACACCTATAAATGTCTCAGGTAAATGTTATATCCCTGCAGGAGTCCTCAGAACTCTTCTCTCTCATTCCCGATTTTTAAAAATACATATATTTATATATATAGTTTTCCCCCTAAAGTATATCAGGAATTTTTAAAAAGATTTTTTACTGAATTTGGGAAAATAAAATTTTTTAAAGGAAACAAATTTTTAAATAAAAAGTATCAAAATTGGGGAATTCACTTCAGTTAAATCCAAATTTTTTCAATTTTCCCCCGAAATCTGTGAAAATCATTCCCCCACCAAGTATATACTTATGCAAATATGACCTGCGAGTTGAAAATTATGAATAATACAAAATCACTGGACAACTAGGCAAAACTTTATCTTTTCCTGCAGTCCTGGACCATCTGATCTGTTCGGGAGTAATTACTACCTGGAAATGATGAATCCTGCTAAACCAGGGAAAATGAAACCTGGAATACAAGATGAGAATACTCCTTGGACCTTTCTCAACGAGCTCACAGAGCTTTGTGTAAAGTTAGTTTTCAATTCTATATCATTATTGTTAATTTGGTTATCAATGGGGAGGGAACAATCAATTTCAAGTATTGTGTACTATCGGGGGAAAGGGGAGCTGGTGGGAATTATGAAAATTGAGCGTTATAAATTCCATGGAAACGAAAATACTGAGTACAGGTGAATAACAAATGCAAGTTTTTGAATAAAGCAAATTCTTCAATTTTTTTCTATGGATTGACTTGAAAAAGTACTCTCTAAAACCTCGTTTGTCTTTGTCTTAGAAATCCAATTTGCAATTTGAAAATATTTTTCAGTTTTATTCCTGATAGCAGTAAATCTTATACGAGGAAGATTTCCGACGAAGTAGATGAGGAGATAATACCTGATCCTATCTGGGATACTCCAGGGCCTTTTCTCCTACTGGAGTTCTGGACCTGTATCCTGGACCGGGACCTCAAGGATTGGTTTGATCTCTACTGTAGACAGGAACAGATATATTTTAGAGGAGTAGAACGTCCTTTAATAGCTCGAGTCTTCTTCTTTACCGGAGAAGTTCGTTGGAACCGGAGATGTGAGAGTTTTTGTAAACTTTATGTTGCAGGGCTGGGTAGACCAGCGGAAATGTATGCTAGGACTTGTATCAGGTAATTATGAAACCTGTTATAATCAGGTTTTCCTTAAATTCTGAAACACATGGATGATAATGAAATAATGTTATTTAACGTACATATTACATATATAATAATGCATACCTAACTATTGTTTTTTTTTGCCTTTCAGATGGTTCGATAAGTTTATCATATTTAAAAGATTAATTATCTTCAAGTTTGATTTTATCATTCCGAAAAGATTGACTCTGAATGAAGTAAAACCATTCGATGTTTAACTATTATTATAAAAACTCTTTTTTGGGTCGTCTTCAATGGTACAAATTATCAATTACTATGCTCAATACTTCATATTAGACAAATTTGTCAATATTTAGGAAGCTCGTTGGTTTACTTGCTCAGACTCTATGTCTAGCAGAGAAGATGAAGATTGAAAGGATTAGTCCAGAATCTGAGCTAAACCTTTACAAAAACCAGATGGCAAGATGTATTGCTAACAATCTCTTTGAAGAGAAAATCTCTGACAAGTAAGAAATTATTTTCTCTCGGAAGAAATGTTAATTTTACATTTTTTGTTCTCCAGAATATATTTTCCCATATTTTAGTGAACTGGTGAGAAAAGAACTGTTTCTCCTTGAACCCTCTTGGTTAAGTTCCGCTGTATCAACCATCTATCTGGGACGGTTAACCGGAGCTCACTTTAACCTCTTTCCAACCTTGACAGATGTCATGAACAATTTTGTCACTGTTGGGATACAAGAAGAGGATAATAATGAGGAAGATGAGGAAGAAATTAGTTCTCCTGTTACTGAACCGATAACTAGGATAACTCCAATCAAAGAAAACATAGAACCAAACTCGCCTAACGTCAAGGCAAGATCTAAATCAGCATTGAAACCCCGGAACACACCCAACAACAGTTCTCCAACGCCGTCCAAACCTCCTCAGAAGATAAATCTAAATTACAAAAACCAGTACGGAGAGAGACATATACATCTTGCATGCAAGAAGAATGATGTACAGAAACTACGCTTAGTTCTTAATACACCAGGTGTTGATGTTAATGTACCTGATAATGGCGGTAACACTGCTTTGCACGAAGCAGTTAACAGCGACAGCATCGAGGCAGTAAAGTTGCTTTTAAACTTTGTTCCTCATGTAACCTTGGACAAATTTTTCAGTATAACTCCTAAGAAAGGATCACAAAGTGTTGGGAAGAAGAACAACTACGCAGATCTTCTTGCTCTGGATCAACACAAAGAAAGTCCTATTATCTATGCTGTTCAATTGGATAGAGTTGAGATCCTAAAATACATTCTAGAATTCCTACAGGAGCAAGAGAAGAAGAAATCATCTAAATTCCCTAAACTATCCAAGGTTTTTGAGATCAGCTCCGAATCCCCATCTAGTCTTTTAAGCAAAGCAACGAGTGAGCCTATGAAGGATTTATTGGATAAGTATTACAATATTGTCAAATCCTCTGGTGTTTCAATCATGAAAATCCATCCAACTGAGCCAATACCACTAGCTCTAGTCAAATCTGAGCGGTATCAAATACTCTTGAAAAACTCACTCCACAGGTTAGATTCAATTATTTATCAAAAGTTCTTTTATTTTTATATCTCTCCTTGCATTCTAGCTAATCTGTCAATTCTATATAGAAATCAAAGATTTTTTATTGATAAAGTTTTTTTAACAGATATTTTGGAGCACAAAACATGTACCTATGTTATCGACTGTGGAAGACTGGATACAAGTATGAAGAGTTCAAACCGGAGAGGATTCAGCAGCTTCTAGCAGAGGAGAAGGAGGTAGTTGTACATGAGGTTTGTCTTCTAGGTCATTACATGACTCCATATAGATATTCTAAGTTAAACTTATTTCTTTATATAGCCTTATTATTTCTGGTCGGTTTCATATAAGTTTAAGAAACAAAACCCCAAAAAATCAAGTACTCATGTTCCTCACAAGTATGATATAAATGTGATATCATCAGTTAACAAATATATTGGAGATATTTTTTCGCTCATGAAATAATTTTATTGTGTAAGATTATTTTCCTAAACATTATCATATTCTTATTTTAGGATCTGAAACGGTTTGAACCCATCGACTACAAAGATTCTTTTGTAAGATTTCCTTTCGGGAACCCTCCAAGGTTTGATGTGTTTAGGCCGCATTCTACCAAAGCTGATGATCTCAAGATTCTGGAGAACTTGAAGTACCACGAGCAAAAGTTACCAAATCTAGTTGATCCGAGGAATCCTATCTTATCATTTAGAGACATGCATCTCTAGATCTTTGTCATTCACACGATCTTCCCTCATTCACATGAGATTACGAAATACAGGCTCAACATATTTAGCGACAATTGCAATAGTTACAAATCTTAACGTTCTATAAATGTAATGTTCAATCAGCATTTTCAGTGCATAATAATGCTATAACTTGACCAGATCGGTAATTTTATTCTATCTGTCTCTAGTTGATTCCCAACCCTATTCCTCCTCTTCTTCTTGTCTTTTGAATTTGCTAAATCCAACAAATTTCTTTTCAATCAATTCAACCAGTTTTTAGTCTTAACGTTGTGCTAAAAACATTTTCATTTTACTATTTTTTTCATGATTAAAGTGACCATTTATTTGTAGAGTGCCATGTGTTCGTTTCCTAACGGTACCATTTAGCCCTTTTCGGCTTAATAATGAGAAAGATATCTATGTCTTTCGGTTTGTTAATTTTACCTCACAATATAAATCAACAAGTAATTTTTTTATATAAAAACCGCAATTAGAAATAATAGATTTGAGATAGCAAATACAAACATAACTCACTTTTGCTCATACCAAGGTTCAAAGTTAAGATCACTTTAAATCAAGTCATGTGACAAGCTCAAAGCAATGATCAGTATTCAGTATTTTATAATTTAAAGTTCTACAGTTTTAATACGTTGTCTTTCTCTACATCTTTACCTTCGAATACCTTTATGAACAAACCCTTGATAAGTAAAAGCCGTTTCAGAAAAGTTTTTATATTTATTTTTTATTTTTTGGTGCAAAGTATCATGATCACTAAGCCATATCATAGGACTAACATAGGACTAAAATTAAAGTGTCATCCCTTTCGGGTAACTCCGTATTTTTAAAAGATGTTGAAGCTATAACTGTTAATTTGAATGTTCATAAAGAAACCCCTAACGAGCTTACTATGTACATACTCTTTGAAGTTGTTTTTTTGCGAAATCACTTTGTACTTCCAAAGATTTTTTTAAATAAAAAAATATTTCTTTATGTAATCAGTTCGTGTTAAAAGTAATTATATATATATGTATGTATGCAATTTTAACCGGAAAACATTATTAGTCGTTTTAATTGATTCTCTTTCTTAAAAAGCTAGCTCTTTAATTACAAATCACGGAAAACAAATCCTCTAAAAAGTATGAAAAGACCCATTATTCTATCTTTCTGATTTTTCTGATAACCACTGATTTTCAAAATTTCTGTGAAATGCTGCATTTGAAATCGATAGATGTAACCGGCCACTCATTAGTTGAATCTCTGGACGATAAAAAGACCAAATATTTAAGAAGCTAGTCAAGTAAATTATAATTAGCACTTCATTTTTACAATTGACATACTTGATTATAATTACATTAGGTATACTTCTTTACAGTGACAATCCGAAAAAAAACTTGAATTATTGTCGTTTTCTTTCTTTTAATTAGAATTGTACGACGTGAGAACCAGAAAACCCTAGAATATGAAAGTACTTGTAGATTAAAGATACGGTTTTGAAAAGTCCAATTGCCGTCTCTTCATGTGTAGCGTGCATAGACTATTTTAATTTAGAAATCATTTTTAAGCTGCTACTAATATAGTTGGTTTTGTAACCACATCAAATTAACTTTGAATATTGCCTTAATGTCGTCTTTGTATTTGGCAGTTTTCTGGTTCTAACATTCAGAGCTTTATAGAATTCATTAATTCATCTTGATCATTTTAGAGATTTCGGTTAACAAAGTTACTAATTTCAAAATCCATCAAAAGCCATTCCTTATGGACACTTACAGATTACGTCGCCGACTGTTGGCCAATTTCTTATTCATTTAACCATAGGTACAACTATAGGTCGTATCTTTCTATCTACACTGCTCTGGTAAAGCGTAACATGCATAGTACGTGACTATGGTTCTACCTATGTGGCCAATTTCTTGTTCATGTTACCATAGGTACAACTATAGGTCGTATCTATCTATCTACGCTGCTCTGGTAAAGCGTAACCAATGTGTTACTGGTTCTACCTATGGTAGAACCTCTAAGAAATCGGCCAATGGTAGAGCGTCTAAGGAATTGGCCATGTATTTATCTATCGGAAAAGACGTATAGTGGCCAAACTATCGTCCTCTAACCTACGCCAAATCTGTTATACTACACATCCGATACACTAGAACGTGGTTTTCCAGCTGCAAGATGGACTTGTGGCCGCAGCGCCCGGCCTTCTAGACTTTACTAGCGCTTGAACCCCTAGCTGCAGCGCTCGGCTCAGAAATTGGCTTAGCCTAACCTTGCCCCTAAATAATACATAAATAAGCAGCTGGCGTAGGTTCGATATTGCATTAGGTCTGAAAGTTAATAGTTCAATAGGGGGGTGATGTTGCGTATAGACGATGTAACAATACTTTTCTTAGTCTTATATCATTAAAATCATTCTGGAACATTCCGACCAAACCAAATAAGTTTTCTAAACATTGCAACTGTGAACTGAGCAAAATAAACCGCTTCCAATAGTAATTTGAAATAAAACACACACACACATGACACATAGTTTTAGTATATTAGATAGAAAAATGATGGCAATAAATTTGCCCCATTTAAGCAATTACACGTTTTGATTATATACTTATCACTTATCAGAACATTTTCTCTTGTTAACAATTACAATTGTGACCCAACAACTTCGTTCCTAGTTAGTGTTTAATAAATGATGAATCGTGATAAACATTCTAAGCTATTATTTGTTCCCTCACCTCTCCTAACTTAAGTCTACTATATTTCAGAGATATGTCTGACGAATTATTTGAAATGAATCAAGGTGCTAAGAAGAATTTTATAATGAAGTGCACAGGAGGTCAGTTAACATATTAAATTATTATTCAAATCTTTTTATTGATCAAAAAATACATAGTTAACACAGTAAACGTTATATATATATCAAGAATACGTACATTTTGATTTTATTATTTTACATAGGGTATCATTTTTTTATGTATAGATCATAAGTATTTGATAAATGACACAGTTTTCATGTATTAATTTTAAAGTAAAGTAAATTCAGTAAAGACAGTAAAGTAAAGTAAACTGGCAACATATAATGAGAGCTCGTAGGGATTGAGAAAAACATTTTCACTTTTTCAAATCAAAAAAAGGCCGATTTGCAACACGTAGCATAAGGCAGAATTTATGAAGATGGTACGAAAATATAAAAATATAAAAATATTAAGAGAACAAGATGCGAATATCGTACAAGAATAAGAGAATAAGAGAATAAAGGAATAAGGCGATACACCATTAAGTAACCAATGGAATCTCGTCTTGAAATGTTAACGTCGAGAGGTGTTTTAAACCTGGGTATAAATAATAGAACACTATAGAACGAAAAAAATGTTTTCAATGAAAGACCTTTTTGTATATTTTCTGAAGCTAAAGCATTAGGTTGTAATATAAAGGTCGATTTAGAATATGTAGGAAGGAACAGAAACAGAAACTTTGACGTGGAACAGAATGAATTGCCAAAAATACAAAAATTGGAAAAATTGAAAGAAGATGAGGCGATTCACCAGTAAGTAACCACTTATTATCTCGTTTTGAATTTTCAACGAAAAGTGTTTAAAACAAGATAGGTTAATTATGTGAGGACTAGTTATATGAGATCCATGTATTGACTTAAGCTGAGTTTAGTCTTTTACAGAAACATAAGATAGACCATTATTAAGGACGAGAAGGAGTATATTTACTAATGAAAGAAGACTAGAACCGCGTTTCACCAAATTAAATGTAGACAAAATATAAATTAACATTTTTCAATTATGATATTTGCTGTAGCAAGAATTTACATTTTCTAAATTCTTAGAAATTTCCTTTGATTAATTAATTCTGAAACCTTAGATACAGTGTTTCACCATGAAAGAAAATTATGAAAAATATTGAAAGAAGAATAGAACGGCGTTTCACCAAATTAATTGAAGACAGAATATAAATTAACATAACAAAGGGCGCTTCACCGAAATATTATAATGTGCATGTTAGAACTGCAGCTTTTACGCATAACCTGTGTAAACTTGCACTTTTTGGAATAGCTGTACTCCTGCTCTAGTTTACGTTTATCAATTTCGAGGCCTTTAACCTTTGAATCGGCACTGCGCTTAATCAGGTCATTGGATTTACGATTTCTGGATATTTCCTCCAATTCCATTGCAAGCAGGTTATCCGGGTCCAGGTTTTCAGCAGGATATAGGCTTGTTCCGTAGCCAGGAGGTATGTTTGGCGGGGCATAAGCGGTGTTGGGAAATTTGAACGTTGATGGAATAGGACGATGGCCAGGTCTGGGGTAGTTCAGATCCATCTGCAACAAGTTAATATTAATTACGAACATACATATTAACAATAGGAAATGGCTGAAATCTTTTAATATAGACTTTAAGTTAATCTCTGTGAAAATCAATTCTATATTGAGGATCTGTTAAGTAGGCTAGTCTTTTATCATTATTGTACGCCATAAAAGTAACATTGAGTTCAAATTTAAACCAGTTAATGAACGCATTTAGAGCCAGATTTTTTTTCATACACCTGCACTTCCATATATAGTACTTGGTATATATTATGAGAAGGTTGTTGGACGAAAAGATGGGAATATTTCTGAATCCAAAAATGAAGTCCTTTTTTGCTGGTATTAAGCGAATGTCGGTCCAGTTAGGGATAAANACGTATAAGGGTTAGAAAAATTTCACATCGTAAAATGATATTTTAGACTAAATAAATTTCCAAATTTTTCACTTTTCTTAGGGTATTTTGTCTGAATGCCAGAAAGTATCAAGTTATAAATAGTTTACTACCTAAATGTATTTGTATGTTTAAATATTTATTAACACCAAATATCTGAATATAAGAGGAATGGCTAATTCAAGTACCATTGTGATGAATTGTTCTAAAACTAAACATTTCCAGGACTTCTAAAGGATCAGTGTGAACCTGAGACTGGAGGAGATTGGGGTGAGGATGAAGGAAACCAGTTAATTGCTGATCTTATTGAACCTGAAATCCAGGAAGCGTCAGATGATTCGAGTGTTGAACTTCTTTTTCAATCTCCAGGAAAAACAGATGTGAGTAAATTTTATTAAGAAAAAGGAATTTGTTCGACAAGTTTTTTTAAGGATTACATTGATAATTAAAAATTTGTTTAATTAAATACAATAAAACCACCATTTCTAGATATCAACCCTGAAGAAATGTCCCAAGTTCTCAAAATACAGGGATGAGGAACTTAACTTAATTCTACGCGTTGACCGCCTTCTGAAAAAAATGGGTCGATCCGCAGCGCTCAGCTTGGACGTGGAGGTGAAATCAATCAGGAAAATATTCTACTCCTTTTGTTTTTCAGCTTAAATTTTTTACTCGCATTCTTGGCTCAGTGTTCAATTTATTTTGACAGGAATATGACATAAACTTAACATCTGAAGTTCATAAAACTATTTGAAATTTAGATATTTTGACTTTCTTTTTGATTTGAGCCACTGCTTGCTTAGGATCCGGATACGTTGGATTCGCAACATTTTGGGTTCTTGGATCCGGATCCAATGGGCAGAATATCAACTAATAACTGCAAACAAAAATCTTTTGCTCTTTTAACCTAAATCTGAACTGCTGAAGAAGAGAGATTATCAAAAATTTCCTCATTTATGAATAGTTTATCAAGTTTTAGTATTAAAAAAAACGAAAAAAATAATTTGAAAATTCTTATTGTTAACAAAAAATCAGTAAATCTTATATAAATGTTTATGACCTGGATCCGAATCCGGATCCATTTTTTCCAGTGCGGATCAAAATTAAATGGATCCTAAGCGCTGAATTCTGAGCAAACTCCATTAATAATTGTTCTAAGAGTTGAATGTAAGCTGATGTAGATCTTCGAAGCATGTTCAGTTGAAACAAGGGAGGATTGTTGGGAATGGGTTTGGAGATACACGTCTGAAAGCATTTAGGGATAAACATGGAATTATTTAAGAACCAAGCTTTAATAGAAAGTTGTAATTGACTTCATTACTTTTATTTTATTTATCGTCTTTAAAATTCATGATTATGCTAGGGGTGCTACGGAAATGTTTGAGAGGGAGTTTTTGAAAAAGTTTTTTCCAGAGGAACCTGTTCATGATCCGAAGTTCAAGGATAAAGTTGAAACCTTAAAACTGTTCTGTAGGATCAAGTGTCTAGATCAACCTGTTTATAAGAATATAGGAGTGGGTGGAAAATATACTTCCTGTGTGCGGTCAGTTCCATGAATATTCCACAACAGTAGTGTTGGGCATCCTACTTAATATTCAAACCCCTTTTTTACATTTTGTTGACTGGCGGGGTCAAAATCATTTTTAAAGGTTTTACTTAAAAAATGTCTCTCATAAGTTTTACAGTGTCAAAAAGTAATGATTTATGAGTAAATATATAGGTCAAAACTGGGTTTTACTGCGTTCGTTGACCAACTATTGGTTTTTCTTAAAAAGGAGCAAAACTCTTAAGAACGGAAAAATGATGCCCAACTTTACCCGTTAAGTAAATTTTTTTTTCTCATTTTCTTATTTTAGGAAAATTTAAGATGATTCTAATTTAAACAGTGATTTTTTTCTTTTTTGTATTTTTACTTAATTCAATCATTAAATGACAAGAAGAAAAAACTTTCACAGCTTTCAATATAATTAATATATTTATCAAGTAACCGGTATTCATATTGTTTATCCTTTGGGTTTTAATAATTTTTCAGTTCGAAATCAATTTCTATTTATTGAAGTTAATTGTTAATTGTAAAAGTTCTCTCTTTGATTTTTCCGTGATACACTAAACAAATTTGCATTTAGAGTCGAATTATCTTAATTCTTCGGAATTTTTTATCTTTACAAAAAAGTTATTTTAGTAAGACAATTAATTCTAGGGTTGGAGACCTTGAGTATACGGTATCAGGGTACAGTTACAAAGTGGATGCTGAGGGAGCAGCAAGTAAAGGCTGGTTAGATATTCACGGAGATAACTGGAGTGAGGTAGGCTTATCCTTGNAATCCTTTTAATGTCTTAGCCAAGTGTTTGGCCAAGAAAATGTAAAGGGGGGGGGGTTGGGGGTCGGAATGGAACCCCCCAGGTCCTTTCAGATTTATTTAATAGTCTTAGATAAAGTATTTTTTTTGGAATATAAAACTTAAATAATGAAAGGTTATCAAAAGATATCTACCAAGTTAAAAAAATTAAGTTTAAAAATCTTAGAATTTCTTGAAATAAATGCTTGTAATAAAACAAAAAAATTGGTAATTTGATTAATATCAATAATAATTTTTGACTTGAAATAAATTTTGTTCATCAAGAAGACTTGGTCATTTAGCTTTCGTCAAGTCATTTTTCATAAATATGTTAAAAATTCTTGTCTGAATTTTCGATGAGGTGAATGATCTATAGCAGAGCTAGTTATTCTTTTTGTCGGAGCCCCATAAACTAAAAAAACATCGATTTATAGTTGGACGCCCTTTATATTGTAAACTACGTATGAACATTTGAACAATTCAGTTAATAATAGATTAAAAATATAAATATATTCCTTAGTATTTTGTTAAATAATATAAACTCTTTCAGGTTGTAGAAAGTAAGACGAAGACGTCAAGTAGTGTGTTCTCAGATGAGGAAATTACAGAAGCAGAAAGGAATCCAAATCAAAGTAAAATGGTCGACATTTGTGGCGCCATGACATCTGATCCAGCAACAAGAGATCTACACTTCGTTGTCATTTGATCAAATGGCTTAATGCCTTCTGGATCAAATGTCACACTAGACCAATTTCAGACGTTACCCTGAATCAATTGACTCATTTCCTTATGGATCAAGTGTCGTGATCCAGTAATGACTGGATCACTTGTCGCCGGGATCAAATGTCGTGGTCCCGTATTTTAGTCGGATCTATTTTAAAGACTAGTAATCTAAATCTACATATTTATAGTTCCTTCTCAACACAAATTGGTTTCGGCAGGGAAAAAAACTTTACTTTACAGTTTTTAACAAAAAGGTGATATGAAAGATGTCGCAGATTTAACACTCATAGGGGATTTTTCAAAATCTGCGATAATAATAATTTTTAAAGAAAATTTTTAAATCTTTACCGTTATTTCAGTTTGATACCGCCCTTATTAAGCAGATGAATTCTCCCCAGTTTTCAAATAACCTGAGACGATCTCCCAGAAAGCAATTAGCAGCAGCAATATTTGATTCTTCCTGCTCCTCTGATATAGATCCAACACCTCAGAAACCTTCTAAAGAAAAGAAAATCCAGGAATACGGAAATCCTAAGAAGAGAACAAGGGTAGATACTAGTCTGGATATAGACCAACTCCTAGATTCTAGTAGGTTAGATTATACTTCTACTATTTGCATTAGTTGTTGCTAAGTTTAATTTTTTTATTGTTTAGGTGCAACATCATTCAGTCTGAGTCGAAAAATCCTGTTCCGGTCAAAAGTAAAAAGTCGGATCTTTTCTCCAACGATAGTGATTCTGAAAGTTCAGACGAAACTCCGAAATTTGTTTTCTTTAATGACTTGAAACCTTCAAGTAGCCCTTCCCCGAAAATGAACATTAAGATAAACAAGGTTTCTACGAAGAAAAGTTCCAAAACCTCTAAAAAGGAAACCAAGACTAATCTTCAACTCTCCCCTATCTCCAATCCTGACACTGAGACAACATCCAGCTCTGGGTTCAGCTTTTCAACCACAGATAAGGAACAGTTTGTCGGAGAAAGAAGAAAGAAGAACACAAAGAAGACTTTAAAATCACAAGATTCGAACCCTAAAAGTACTTTGCCCGAAATAACTGGTTCAAGTGTATTTGAATATGTTGAAGATGCAGAAACTACCAAGATCAGGAAGAAACTAGAGAAGCGCGAGTTAAATAAGGAAAAGAGGGCTCAACGTTCGCGTAAATCGAGAGAATCTTTATCAATCGCTAAATTTAATCGATATTCTCAAATAAACGATGACCCTCAAGAATCAAAGGCAGAAAAGAAGAAAACTAAAACTCCATTCAAGAAAGGAAAGAAATCCAAGATTAAAAGTCCTGACAAAACTCCTCCAAACCAGAAAAAAATTACTGGATTTTTTAAGCTCTCTGATGATATAAATGAATTGCTAAAAACTCCCCCGGAGATAGAAGGATACGAAGATATTGAAAATGAGTTTGATCCACACCTTGACGAACACATACGAAAGATAGACGAGTATCTGGAGGAGGAGAGGTTAGAGGAGATACGATATCAGGAGTTTCTCCAAGAAAATTCAAAGTACAGGGATCGTCTTGAGAAGGAACTAACGGAACCTGTTCTAAAGAATATGTTCCAGAAAAATCTTCAATATTTAAAGGTTGGAATTAACTTGAAGCCAATCAATTAATCAACAATTTATGAATTATTTTTTCTTCTTCAGAAAATTTGGTCTGGTGAGGAGGGTTCAGATAGATATGATATGTATAAACTTGGAGGAGGAAATAGACAGCAACTCATGCACAGTATGATTACTGATCCGTTTACAGATGAGCAGCTGGATTGGACACTGTCAGAGATCAGCAAGGTTTTTCATCCTGTTTGAAATTTATTAACCAAAAATTCATTTATTTCCCCTAATTCAGCAATAAAGCCTTAAAAAATCCGCACACACACAATCAACATGGGAGGGGAGGAATGTAAAGAAACATACACCCCTGCGAACCTTGATTATAGGGAATAAACTGGAACCGATTCGCAAATTTCATGAAGTACTTCTCCTTTTTTCTCCCTTTTCCCTTACTCTGTACTCCCCATCTCTCTTTGCCCAGAATAAATAGAGAATAAAAACTGTGTATTACAGGTGTGGATGAGAAACCACGAAGAACGTCGAGAGAACAACGATTTCATCTGGAAGGTTCTGCTCCCGGAGTGTTTTATAAAATTGTACATGGATCATTTCTCTTTCGATAAAAAGGAGGCTGAAAAACGGATTCGGAATACTCCGCTCCACGAAGAAGATGATATTCCTTAATCTGTTTTTTCAATAGTCTTGCTCCTTTACATTCGCATTCAGGGTTTAGAAAATATTAATCTTCTAAGCACTCCGGTGATATCAAATGTTTATGTATCAAATGATAAGACTTTATTTAACTGTTTTCGTATATTTATTATTTTATCATTTAACGATTGCAATAGAGAAAAATTTCTCATTTAAAATATTTTGACATGAAAATCAATTTATAAATGAGTCGCGCGCAAAATTGTAACAGGGGAACAGAACTGGAACTGAATTCTGAAGGTTTCTTAACTATTTTTCTTCTGTTGGTGAAGTATTTTACTTTTCTCTTTTGATCTCTTCTTTGGTTAATTAATTACTTAGTTGAATTAAAACTGAAATTAAGCTTTGTGATGATTAATCTTGTGATTTTGTTTGAAAAAAAAGAGCTTGTGATATTGAGCTGTGAAATTAGCTAGCGATACCGTTGTACCTTGATATGTACCACTAGTTTATGGAATTTTTGTTTCATATCTGTAGGATTATGATTTAATTTTTTCAGACAAAATGGTTTCAGGAGACACTACTGAGGATGAGAATATAGGGTTGGGATGTGCCCTGGATAAATTCGGGTATGTTTGCTTCAACACTCGGCTGACTAGAAATTAATAGAAATATTATTAATTTTTGAAAGGTTTCAATTTCATGAATCAAGAAAACCTTAAAAAATGTGCGTCACTGATTCAACTGAGCCAACTTGTCCAGTGCAGTTTGTTGATCGTTGAAAACTGACCAGTGACAAAACAGCAATAACATGATGAACTTATTAGGACGCATACATTGAGAATCATTTCCCGAAATCCTTAATCATTTTATCATTTAGGGATCTGGAGGAGATCAATAAGATGATGGGAGCTGCGTGGGAACATCTTGAGAATGAACGGGACGAGGAGCAGATCCTTGAAAGATGGAAGTATGTACTTGATCTGTACCAGGAGCAACCTCATCTCATAGATCCTCACCTAGACACTATCCTAGGTGGACCAAAAATAAATATAAAAACTATAAACTTTTTCCATGAAATTACAAAAAGAATCCAATAGATTGTTTTGTGTGTTGGTGGTTACCTGTGAACTCTAAACGCTAGTGTTCGCAAGAAGTCATAATGTATCTTAACCGGCGTTGTAACGAAAAAATTGAAATAATGATTTTTTTGGCCTAAGATCACAAACTTTTAAATTTTTTTATCATCCTGAAGAAACATTGAATGTTGAACTAAGGTGTTTCTTTTAGGAAATCTTGTAAAGATGATCAGGAAGCATACAACAAATCCACAATTATATATCACCACTCGACTTCTATTCCATCTTACAAAGGTGAATAGTTTTTGATAGAAATGATTTTCTATCAAAGATGTAAAAAACTTTTTTAAAAGTCTGTTAACTTGAACAGGTTCGAGGTTACAAGATTGTGGTTCGGCATTTCCCTCACGAGGTTGATGACCTGGAGTTCGTGGTTTCTCTTCTCCAGGCCCAGGATGAGAAGAACACAGAAACCTGGGAAACAAGATACGTTCTTCTTCTTTGGCTTTCGATTATCGTCATCATTCCCTTTAACATGTCGAGGTATTTCTTAATTGATATGTTAAAGGAACTGTAAGCGTAATTATGTGACCACACCATGCAAAGATGGCAATGCCGGATTCATTACAATGCCCTTGAAACCTTCATCTGATCAATAGTGCGGAAGATATGTCTTTTTTCTAGGTTTAGAATTGTTGATTTCTTATAATTCCTATCTGCTTTTCTGCAGTCGAAATGCGTAAGGGATTTGTAGAGAAACCGCAATTAAAAATAACTAGTTTTCAAAATTATAAATATAGATAACTAATACATACCTGATCAGAAAAAGCTTTTAAGGGTACCGATGTGAATCAGGCATTGCCTTCCTTGTATGAAGTGCCACTTAAAATTACGTTTACTGTAATCTTAATATTAATGGGGTTTACATTGATATTGGGAACAACTGCATATTATGCGACAAGATTTGATATTGTAAACATGAGACCACAAAAGATGGGAAAGGATTGATTAAGATTGAATTAGATATAAGAAAGATTGAACAAGATTGAACAGGATTGAACAGGATTGAACAATATTTAACAAGAGTTTTTTTTAAGGTTTGACAGTGGAAACCAGGAACCTTTGTCAGAAAGAATACTCACACTCTGTAAAGGTATTTTTTATCATCTCCAAAATTTACAAAAAAAATTTAGATTAATTTATTTAAAAAAATCTTCGTCGCAATATTTTTTGTTTGTTTGTTCAGTTCATCTGACGTCTCGAGATAAGTCCCGAGACGCCGCAAGCTATCTCGCTTCCAAGTTTTTGACAAGACCTGATACAAGGGATACGTCTCTACCTGCATTCCTAGACTGGGCTCTCGTCACAGCAACCAAAGGTAACATTAGGTCTAAATTAATCTCCGGCATTCGAATGATTGATTTGATAACTCTAATTGACTGGGAAATTAAAGTGTTCTTGATTGATTGAGTATTAGTTTTTTAACATTAATATTTATAAATATGAATTATCTGATTTGTTTTACTAGATGGGGCCCGGGAACCTGATATAACCGGTGGATTGATGGCTCTTTCTTCTGTTGTAAAACACTCAAAAAGGAAATCACAATCTAAACATCGAATACTTAGCAAAGTTATCATTCTAAAATATTTTTTAAAATTATTTTAACCTTTTTGCATCGAGAGATCATTTTTGGCATAATAAATAAAATATTATAAACTCTACAACAATACGATCAAAATAAAAAAGAACAATTTTACAAATTGCTTATTTTAAAACAACATTTAAACAAATGTTATTTTATATTCATTAAACGTTTCAAGTGTCCAATATTGGCGTTCCTGTACAAAATGTTAAAAGCTAAAAATGGGTTTCCTGTAATTCTGGACACTACCGCCATTAATTTCTTTTACGAACGATCATCCAGTTTTGATGTTTGTTTTGTGTAGAGAGGATTTACTTGAGTTTGCTCCCGCAGTTCTCACTCGGATTATAAAATCTGGGTTTAAGGAGCACACAAACACGTTCATCAGGAAACTATCGTTAAAACTTATCCAAAGATTAGGATTAGTCTTTCTCAAGTCTAAAATAGCAACCTGGAGATATCAGAGGGGCTCCAGATCCCTAACTATCAATCTAAACCTAGCTCCTGTTCAACCTGTTCCCGGAGTTAAAGAAGTGGATCTTGAGGAGGAGGATTATGATGTCCCGGAGATAGTTGAGGAAGTTATTGATGAGCTCCTCAATGGATTGAAGGACAGAGAAACTGTCGTTAGATGGACTGCCGCTAAAGGTCTGGATTATGTTCAATTAATCAATTAATAATTAAATTTCCATCCAACCAATAAATTCGTAATTCCAACCTTCTGCTCAGGTATCGGCCGTGTAACAGGACGCCTAGCGCAAGAGCTGGCAGACGAAGTGGTTGGATCTCTCCTGGAGCTGTTCAGTGATAGAGAGACAGATTCGGCCTGGCATGGAGGATGTTTAGCTGTAGCGGAGTTAGGACGAAGAGGACTACTCCTACCAATCAGGCTTGGAAAGGTTCGATATTAACAACAAATATTGAAACGTCTTGCCATGCTACAACCTGTCTTTATTTCTAGGTTGTTGAGTTTATTATAAAAGCTCTTGTCTACGATGAGAAGCGAGGAAGTTTCTCTGTTGGATCTCATATAAGAGATGCTGCATGCTATGTTTGCTGGGCCTTTGCGCGAGCATATGCACCAGAAGTTCTTCAACCCTTTGTTCAGGATCTGGCTAGTAGCCTTCTTATTGTTACAGTCTTTGACAGGTTAATTGTATTTTGTAATTGTCCCTTTAAGTCAGCTTTATATTTTTAACGACTAGACTGTTTAATGCAATTATGCAATTTAGTCATTATTTTGACGAAATTTGAATTTTAGGGAAGTCAACTGCAGAAGAGCAGCATCGGCAGCTTTCCAAGAGAACGTTGGACGTCAAGTAAGTAGTTTTCACTCTATGAGGGTAGGTTCGGGGTTATTGATTGGTTTTAGAACTGGTTTTCCGAAAAAAAAACAAAGTCAGTAGACAGGAGAGAGTGTAAGGATAAATAATCTTGTTATTTAAAGATTGGAGTAGGTAATCGGCACTAAAGGTATTTGTTATCAATTTGATCAAGACATTGTGGGAGCTAAGAATGTGTAGACCAGTTCGTTAGAAACGATTGTTCTGACAGGGTCATAAGACAGTCTAATTTTCATTAGGATAAAAGCGGAGTCAGACTAAAACTATTATTTTTTAGGGAACCTTTCCTCATGGAATTGATATTCTAACTGCTGCTGACTACTTCACAGTTGGACAGGAACATAAACCTACATTTATACTGTTTATTAAAAAACCTTATATTATTTATTAGTGTACGCTGACCGTTAATTTAATATTAACACTGAAACTTGGATATGAAAGCAAGTTTAAACAGCGATAAATTTTATAATTGATTTTGTTAGATAACTATTTTATTTTTTGACTCGTTCAGTTTGTCCCAAGTTATTAATGTGGGCGCTGAGTGTAGAGATCGAATGCGTATCTGGTAATAAGTGAGTATGTTGCCAGGTTCGGAGAATATAGTAAACCTTTAATCTCCCACCTGGTAGAGAGGAAGGTGGGACACTGGGATGCAGCTGTACGAGAGCTTGCTGCTAAAGCTCTGAACAGGCAAGTAACTCGACAAATGTGCACTGTGCTTGCTTTCTGTTTAGTCTTTTTCTTGGGTAGATAAAAAAATATATCAATTTCAGTCAAAAATTTCATTTCCTGGGAATAAACACTTATTATTATTATCACAGTCAATCAGTGGTATACCAAAGGGATAAAACATTTTTGAAAAATCAAAAAGTTTTCTGTTTGGCTCTCACCTATAACCCTATTTTATTCTTGACTAAGAGAAGCCTCTGGAATCTGGATGGAAGATAAGTTGTGAATAATGTGATACATCCAGGTTGACCCACTGTGACCAATTGTATATGCTGAGCTATGGTTTGCCAAGTCTGCTAGATATGTGCGTATCCTCAGATCTGTTTTCATCTCATGGAGCTACTTTAGGAAACCTTGTATAATTTTAATAACAAATAGTTAGAAAAAACTAAAATAAATAAAAAACATAGGTTTTTAATAATTAATTTAAGATTTTTAAGTTCAAATTAAATTTTCCTTATCTTATTATACTTAGAGCAATACCAGAGTTTTACGCTCCAAATAAGGAAATAAACTAAAAACTGAAAATTATAACTTGGTATTTTTAGCTGTCGGTCAGACTGTCTTGGCGCTAAGTCAAATTGCTCTCAAGGAATTCTTCTAAAACCTTAAGTTTCTACAAAACCCTAGACAATTCACATAAGCAGGTTATTAAAGGGACTGTGTTCGTATATCCTCCTGATTGTTCATTGGGTGAAAGATTTAAAGGGTATCGTGAATCAGGAATGCAACTCTTTAAGGGGGGGGGGGTCCTTTGAAACTACATCGACAGTCCCTTCAAGGCATTTTTGAAAAGCTTGTTTCTTTAAAAAGAATTTCTAGGATGGTTTGAGTGTAAATAAGATACTAGGAGATGATCTGACCGAGAAGATCGCAACTTTGATGGATCGGTTAATCCTGAGTAAGTCGAGAAAACAAAAATTCCTTTAAAACTATGTAATAAAGCAATCGGATCTTTGCATGCCTGCTCATTTAGATAAATGATAATTTTCTATCTAATCTAGAAAACAAGCTGCGTGGTCTAGGAGGAGAACTAATGCGCCAAGCTGCTTCAGATTTTATTGAAAACTCTTCAATGGCTGGACTACCATTGCCTCCTTCTGCAGTCACCACCTGGAAAACTGTTTTAGATGAAAACCTTAGGAATGTATTCAACCAATTTGGACCCCCTCTCCTCCTCCTCATCATCCCCTCTTCAATTCTAAATTAAGCTGATATTTATCCTTATAAAATATATTGACATAGAGCTTATTCTTCACTTTTAAACGGATCGATGCTTAAAATCTTCTTTATTTATAATGTCGGCGCCTATCCTATGTAATATTACATGTTGTTTAATGCAGAAATATGGTCTAAAAAAGTAACATGGTTCAAATTTGTTCGTATTGTGAGACCCTCGAAATCAAAGTAAAATAATATTACCCAAAATTCAGAACTAATTTTAACTCTCAAGATTGTAGCCTAGAGTAAACTCAAAAATACATAGTTTTATTAAATTAAGATGTTTTTTATACGTTTTCATCATCCAGGGTTGTTCAAATAATCATAAACATTACACATACATAAATATTGTAAACTTCCTGTTGACCAAATAATTCATGCTAAACCAAATTTTCTAATGAACTGGGATAAAGTAACAGAATTCTAAAGGTGGTTTAGTGGTTTTTTGGGTGTTTTTTTTTGAGGTTTATGCATGTCAGCAAATGTGCTGTTATTTTCTCTGGTGTCCTATCTATCAGTTTGGTTGAAACAACTTGTTAATCCAGTGATATGGACCAGAGAGTACAGAGTGCATCCGTTTCAGCTATACCTGCCTTCACTTCTCAATACTATATAAATAATGGTATTCTGGACCTAAATGCCAGGGATACCATACTCACTCAGTATTTTACCATGCTCAAGTAAGAAAACAATTGAAAATAATTTTTGATTTTTATTGATTAAAAATAATTGAAAATAATTTTATTTTTATTGATTAAAAATTATTCCAAATATTTCAAAAAATAATTAACATTAGGTTTTAAAATCTTGGGGGCAGAATAATTGATTTTGGGAAGGGGGGTCAATAAGGGAGTAAAAGGATTTTTAAGAATGATTGGATTGGATTGGATTGGATTGGATTGGATTGGATTGGATTGGATTGGACAAAGTCAAAATGACTACCCTACAAGTTTTATCAATTATGTTAATGGTTCACTTCTTGACCAAGATGAATAATCTAGAGGGAATGAACAGCATCGTAAAGGATTCTCCCTGGCTCTTGGAGCCTTGAACACTAAACTCATTCTTGGTAGACAAGAAGATATCATCAACAATCTTATCAGATGTTCTAGGTAAGTTCATACCATACATATAAAGTTATTAGGACACTCAAGAAACATTCTTTTATACAGGGAGAACCATAATACTGTTGAACATTAAAGCAATCTGCTAGTGTTCTTTGATACAGGGAGAACCATTATACTGTTGAACATTAAAGGAATCTGCTAGTGTTTTGATATTAGAAGCAAAAAGTTCTACTATAGTAACCTAAAAATCCCTTCTTTAGTTTAGTGACTGTTCAGACTTCTAAATTAAAGTCTTTCGATCTTATATTAAAGCATAACTTGAGTTTAAAAGAAGTGCTTGGAATCCGGATCCGTTGGATCCGCAAGATTTTGGCTTCCTGGATCCGGATCCGTAAAAAAAATGCGGATCCCTGGATCCAAGGGGAAAAAAATTGAAGAAAAAAATTACTCTCAGACCCCAAATCTGAACTATTAAAAAAAAGAAAGATTACAAAAATTTCTTAATTTTAGTATGGTTCATAAAGTTTTAACATAAGAATAAGCCAAAAAAAATTGAAAATTCTGCTTTGTTTAAAAATTTTATGGAAATAACCTGGATCCGGATTCATTTTTTCCAGTGCGGATCCGGATCCGCATCAAAATTAAATGGATTCTATAGAAGGACTGTTTAAAAGTCGTCTCTGTATCCCAAAGTTTTCTGCTTCTCACTGTACATTCCTAAATCCGTAATATATTAATTCTGTTTGAGCAAATGCGCCGACCAACATTTTGAAAATTTAGATTTTTGTATTTCAGGATAACTGAAGGAACAGAAAAATGGGCGGAGGGGAGAAGAGACGCTCTGAAAGCTTTAACCAGTGTTGGAACTAAACTAGATAGATATATCAGTAATGAACTAATTCATCATATTTACGACTGCTTCATGATCTCTCTCGAGGACTACACTGTGGACAGACGGGGTGACGTCGGAGCTTGGGTGAGAGAAGCTGCTTTGACCGGAATAGAGTTGTTTACTCTTAAACTTCTGAGTTGGGACAGCAGCAAGATACCACCATCTATTGTTGGACAGTTTATGCCCTGCCTAGCCCAGCAGGCGGTAGAGAAGATAGATAGAACCCGAGGTCATGCAGGACGGATATTCCATACTATCCTTCACGCTAAATCCTCCGAGGGTAATACAGTCCCAGGAATTCGAGTCCGGGAACAGCTTCTTGAAATATTCCCGGAGAACTGTGACGTCAAGTGGGCCGTGGAATCAGAAACCTTCCCAATGTTTGTTAAAATGCTAAGGTTGAAGGAGTATTCGGAGAGGATGCTTCTTGGTCTTGTTGTCAGTGTTGGTGGGCTCACGGAGAGATTAGTTAAAAATTCGAGTCAAAGTTTGTTCAATGAACTAAACTCAATGAGTTCAGAAGAAATAAAGTTGTTCTGTTCAAATATTTTGAGTCTTTTCAATGCATTTCAAAAAAATGACCGAGTCACTTTACCGTTTCTCAAGTTCCTAGATCAAGTATTTACCTCCTCCTGTCTGGACTCTGTACTGCAGGATCCTAACTCCGGGTTCCCTCTCGACCTTCTCCTCCTCTGTAAGAACGAACTTGTCAAGTGTGGAGATCCGAACAAGCTGATGGCAAGCAGTGAGGTCTTCTGTCAACTTCTCCAGGTGAAAAAAGTTTTTCGAAAAAAAAATTAAATAAATTGCTTTTTTATTACACCCTTAGATTTTGTTTCAAATCAGAAATTTTGATCCGAATTTTCATCAACAGCACAACTATGTTATTTTTCTCATCCTGAAATGTTCTTCTAGTGGATATTTTTCCTAATTTTATTTTAAGTTTTAAATTTTGAACTCTAGGCTGAGAACCCGCAGTGTCCTCGGAAATGTTTGGTTCAGATCGCCATATTTCTCTGCCATCGGTTCCCCAGGGTTAGAAAGTACTCTGCGGATAAACTTTATGAAGCTTTGCTAACGTTTGCCGACAGGGAGATAGTTCCAGGTGAAGTAGGAAAACAATCTCAGAAAAATCCGATTTGGGTTTTATAGCCAAATTTTAAACTTTTATATATACATAAAAATTCTTATGTTCATGAAGCTATTCTCATTTTTCATTGAATATTTTGAGGGGGGGGGGGAAGCTTGCGAAAAGTGCTACCGCTAAGTTGAAAGTTCTAAACTATATTACCATATTGGCAAGTCATGATCGTAATACTTGGAATTCTCCTTTTCTAATCCGATTTCTCGTTGATCATTGTGACTTGAAGAAAGTTGAAAAAGTGGTTTAAAAATCAAATATCAGCGGATTATTTTATTTTTACTATAATTGAATACTGGACTTATGAAGCGAAATGCACGAGTCCTGGCGCTGTTTGTGTGCAGTGGGGAGGTGACTTCTGTCACTGGTCTAGACCTCGATGTCTCGATCCCACTAGACTTGTGTCATAATCGGATATACATTAATTTCCACCCTTTGGTGGTTATTTTTGATGGGGTCTCGGCCTTGATTTCCACGGAATGATGGTTGATCTTTTATTTGTTTATTTATTTATACTAAAATTAAATTATTTTCTAGAAATGAATCCAGCTAAAATGAAATATCAGCGGATTATTTCATTTTTACAAAATTGAATTTCTTCTAAAAATGAATTCCGTTAAAATCAATCAGCATTTAGCTTAAACTACCGATCACTTGAGACATTTAAGTTGCTATTAGCTTATAATAAATATCAATGTTCCCAAATTCATGAGCCAACAGGGCAGAGCCCTCTCTCCGGTCATAATAGTTAATGCAATTAGACCGGGGATTAAAATCTGTGATTGGCGATCTGGCAATAACTTCGGATGCCCGTTGTAATCATCCTTGATTTAGTATAGTCACTTCAATTTTGGCGTCTGAGTGTAGACGTCCCTAAAAATCTGGTCTGATCTGATCTGATCTGATCTGATTTGATTTGATGCACAATATTAATGTTAATCTGTATTATCTGTTATCAGAGGAGAACCTGGATGAAGTAATGAACCTGCTAAGTGAGACGAACTGGATAGAGACGAGTATAGATGAGCTGCGAGGTATACGGAACAAGATCTGTGAGCTGTCAGGAGTGCCTGCTCCAGCAATAAAGAAACAACCATGAAATCCTTTTATTTAAGCTTTGTTCCGCATCTGCTTTATATATTTATGCATCATCTGTGCACTGCACAGTTTGTAGTTCCAGTTCATACAAGTATGCAGTGTACAGTGTACACGTACAGTTCACTATACACGTACAATACACTGTACAGTGTACATGCATTATGCAGTCGCCTAATAACATCAGTTCTGTGTTAACATTAAGTTGTCCCAAAATTTGCACTAATCCCGTTATCACACACACACTTTCCATTTCCAGTCCTTGTTTACTGTAATACTAAACACTGTTAATATTCACATATGCATTTAATACCGATAATACATTCATTAAGCACAACTTCATTTTAAGCCCTGTTTTACTTCTTTACTACCCTTTTTAAATGTGTACATTTATAAAGGTAGTAAAGAAGTAAAACAGGGTGTTTTTTTTATAACTTTTACTGCTATATTGTTTGCGGCTTTGTGGTTATTCATTTTATGTAAAATATGGTTCCGGTTTCCCACACAAGTTTAAAGGGACTGTAAGCGTTATTTCAAGTTCAAGTGACTTTTCATGCATAGAGGGTAGTTCCCGATTTACAATGGTACCCTTAAAAGCTTTGTCTGATCACGATTGAATTATATTTCAACGTTTATAAGTTTGAAAACTAATTATTTAAATGTGGTTTCTGTACAAAAACAATAACATTTACTTGTTGTCGGTGATTTTTAAATTAAACTGAAGAAAAGAAAGTCAAGATTTCCATTAAATAAAAAAAGCTTGAAATTGAAAAACACATTGATTTATAAAATTGGGAACATTTTTTGCCTCTCCCTGAATCTGTCAGGGGGTAGCGAATGTCCCCCCGCCACCCCCCTGTATCCGCCCCTGACTGCTGGAAAGCATATTGGAATGAATTATCAGAATTAAACTTTATCAAAACCTAGGGGGGGCAATATCTTCCACATTATTGATCAGATAAAGGTTTCAACAGTATCATTGTGAATCGTGTATTGTCATCTTTACTGAGAGGGTTCCTTGAAATTACGCTTACAGTTCCTTTAAATAACATTTGGTAAGTTTACAATCAACAAAATTATTTTGAAGGGAGGGTTCTCAGATATTCAGAGTTTGGAGCGTAGCGGGAAAGATTTATTAGGCGTTTCCTTGATATTTCCTGGGTTTATTCACCGCAATAAAGTCGGGATGGGCCCTTGTACCGACCGGGAAAGCCAAGTGGTGGTGCAGGGGGGGGGGGGCTACCCCGGTCCGGCTCTCTCTCTCTTTTCTCAGTCACAGCTGACTCATCTTTGTTTTGCCGTGTATTGACCAAGAATCTCAAGAACTGTGATCTCTGATGGATCTTAGAATATGAGAGAATTGAACTCTATATATCTTCTCCTGATCTTCTTAAACCTATGTGTTGGGTTTCCTAGGTTACAGTTTGATGGAGGGGGTAGAGCCAGGACGGATAAATGTGAAACATTAAACTGCAATCCTGAGACTAGAGTAAAGAGGAATATTATTGGTAATAGTGAATTTAATTATCTAACTAAGTTTGGATATTTACCACAATCTATTCTTGAGACTGGAGCTTTAACAACAGATGATCAGCTCCGTAGTGCTATCAGGTAAATTAAGATATTTACCACAATCTATTCTTGAGACTGGAGCTTTAACAACAGATGATCAGCTCCGTAGTGCTATCAGGTAAATTAAGATGTCATCTAGAACACTGTCGAAAATGGACAATCATGTTTAAGTCAAAACACCAGAACTCTTTCTTTTGAATATATATTTATATTCACTATACAATACAGTCCACTGAATTATAATCTTAATCTGCCTTCTAGGGAATTTAAGTAAATCTATTTTTAAGAAATAGAAATCAAGTGTATTTTTTTGGTCTCAATCAAGCTTATTTCTGTTATTTGTTTTCCGGCGATATTTTCAGGAGTCTCCAAATTTTGTGAATTTTCCTTAACAGCCATGAGAAGTAAACTTTTTCAGGTTGTAGTTTGACAGTCAGGCAGTTGACTTAGGGCTTTGATTTTTATGCTACAATATGTCTTGTGACTGTTATGATTACAAAATTTAGTTCTAAAATACTAATAAGGTTAACACCCTTTGGTCTACCGATGATTTCTATGAATTACGAAAGCTAATGTTCTGTAACATTCGAAAAAATGGACTAAGAACTTTCATGAATCAGTTTGTAATATCGTAACTAATTTTTACTTAATAACTTTCTTAATCGCCAAATACGTTTTTAAAATCAATTTTTATTAATATAAAATATCAAGCATGCATTAGCCCACTCGCCACTTTTAACTTAAATAGAATAAATAAATCTACATTTTAACCAGTTATACACAGTACACACCATCCATTTATATTTTATAATTGAAGCATAAACTATTTTCTCTTCAAATGTCTGTTCAGTTTTTAAATATATTTATTTATATAAATTTCATCAACAGATCTTAATAGTACACCATACAGATTATTCTTAATCTGAAGAATTAAAGGGACAGCTTAGACGTAATTATAAACGGCCCCGGAAACCTCCTTTTTATGGGTACTGCTTGTAAAATAAAACTTTAAATTACATTCTAACAATTCCTTTACGTGACGAAACAGTTAATTTGGTAAAAATAGCAGATATTCCTGTTCCCTACTTTTTTTTTGTAAATTGACTGAAAGGTTTTAGACCGACGGCCGAAAGGTAGCATATGTTGAAAATTGTAAATATTTAGGAACCTTCAAGCATTTGGTGGATTGGAGCAGACTGGAGCTGTTGATGCTCCGACCAGGAATCTTATGAGCAGGAAGAGGTGCGGGGTTCAGGACGTTTCTCTTGGATTCACGAACAGGAGAAAACGTTATTCTCTGCAAGGTAGATGATTCAAATTTGTATGATTTCGTCCTTTTTGTTACGTTTAACCATTCAAACACTATATGGGAAACCATTGTGGAAAAGTAAAATTGGGCATCGAGTTGTTTTTTGTTTTTTTTAGATATTCTAGAATTTTTCACAAAATTGAAAAATTGATATTTTGTCATTTTCTTAAATGAAATTATGCAAAATTTTGACTCTCGACAGAAGATGAAGGCCTCAAATACAGCAACGTCAATCTTCTGCTATTGTCAAGATTTTGCATAAAAGCAAAATTTAGATTTTGAAATATGTTTAAGGAATTGTGTATAAGGGAATACTTCGAAAATAGTACATGTGAGATTCAGATTAAATGAATTTAATTTTCCATTCATAAAAATAATCCTCCCAAATCTAGTAGAATATGGACTGAAGAGCATTCATGAAATATAATTTGAGTAAAATAATAAAAAAAAATTGTTTTAGTTAATTAAAATAACTCAGATTTGCTTATCCTAATATCTTTGCATACTGATGGTCTAAACCTTTGATATTTCAAACTAATATAATTTCATCTATCAGAATTCATAGTATGAAATATCTGAGGTCTGCGACATTGGTTTACAAAGAAATAAGGATTAGAAAATCTGTGTTTGTTGCAAAGACTCAATTCTTCTCTCGAGTTTTATTTTTTTGTCTTCTGAAAGCCTACCGATCCTGAATTGTTTAAAAAAACGGAAAATTACGATGCCCGTGGGAAAAAAATCAAATTTAAAAAAAATGGTGAAAAAAAATCAATTTTTTTTAGCCTATAACACCCCCCGGCCACCCATGAGTAACCACAACAATTTCAGCCCATTCGGTCCAGCCGTTTGGCCGGCTATAGGCAACACATATATGAATGTCTTGTTTTATCACATAGATGAAAATAAAAATATGCATGTTGTGACAAGAGCATTAATATTTAATCTGTAGCTAAAAAAAGATAATGCCACAACATGTCGTCAATCACTATATTTATGCATAAAACTACATAAAACTTACATTTTTGGTTTTTGCAAATTTGTTAGGGTTGGTGAGATATTCATTTAAAATATCTATTGGGCGGGGTTCTTAATTCTTATTAAAGGATGGGTGATGGGCGGGACTAAAATATTGTACAATGAACCTTGGCCTGTCTTTAGAGTTCTCATTTTTAATAATTATAATATTGTTTAATTTAAGTGCAGATCATGCCAAGGAATAATAGAATTATCTAAATAATAAAACATTTTTTAAACATTTGATGGATAAATAATATTTGGACTTTGACCTTCTTTAGTTAAATGTAAAATGTAAAATCTGTTAGCACATGCTCAACTCTAATTGAAAATTTAAATTGATTTTTATTTTTTTTTACAATATCGTGTATAATTAGAACACTTTATAAAAAAAAACTAATAATTTTAAATACAGAAGGGAATGAGTTCCCTTCTTTGAACGTAATAAACTCAGAGTTGCGTGGGTTAATTGAGATTTTGTTTTTACTGCAGTACTCATCTATTTTAAAATATTTATGTAATGGTCAATGCAAACTAGAAAAAGAAAAAAATACTAAAAAGAAAAAAAAACAAGAAAAGAAAAAAAAAAATACTAAATAAAGGACGTACGACTAACAAAAAAATAAAACAAGCAAATCTCTATTATCTTTATGTTTGAAGGGCAAAGATGGCACACCACCAACCTAACCTGGTCTCTCCTGCGTATGGAGTACATGAATGAATTGTCAAGACAAGATATTATTGAAGAACTCAACAAAGCGCTCAAGGTTTGGTCCTCAAATACTCAGCTTAGGTTCAACTTCCTGGAGAGAAGTGAGTTGGCGGATATTCAAGTTTCCTTCCATAGAGGTTATCACGGGGACGGATATCCATTCGATGGTATCGGAGCTGTTCTAGCTCATGCATTCTTCCCTGGTCCGGGAAGGGGTGGAGATGCTCATTTCGACGAGGACGAGAACTGGACTAACCAGGGACGGTCTGATGGAGAAGTTACGAGTCTTTATGCTGTAGCTCTTCATGAGTTTGGGCATTCTCTAGGTAAACTAATAAAATCGTTAGAAAATAGACTGTTCAGAGTTTACATATATTTGTAGGTAACATTAATAGACTGTTCTGAGTTTACATATATTTGTAGGTAACATTAATAGACTGTTCAGAGTTTACATATATTTGTAGGTAACATTAATAGACTGTTCAGAGTTTACATATATTTGTAGGTAACATTAATAGACTGTTCAGAGTTTACATATATTTGTAGGTAACATTAATAGACTGTTCAGAGTTTACATATATTTGTAGGTAACATTAATAGACTGTTCAGAGTTTACATATATTTGTAGGTAACATTAATAGACTGTTCAGAGTTTACATATATTTGTAGGTAACATTAATAGACTGTTCAGAGTTTACATATATTTGTAGGTAACATTAATAGACTGTTCAGAGTTTACATATATTTGTAGGTAACATTAATAGACTGTTCAGAGTTTACATATATTTGTAGGTAACATTAATAGACTGTTCAGAGTTTACATATATTTGTAGGTAACATTAATAGACTGTTCAGAGTTTACATATATTTGTAGGTAACATTAATAGACTGTTCAGAGTTTACATATATTTGTAGGTAACATTAATAGACTGTTCAGAGTTTACATATATTTGTAGGTAACATTAATAGACTGTTCAGAGTTTACATATATTTGTAGGTAACATTAATAGACTGTTCAGAGTTTACATATATTTTTAGGTAACATTAATAGACTGTTTTAGAGTTTACATATATTTGTAGGTAACATTTCATTTATTTGTAAGAGGAGTTAAATTTTTTTTCCAGTTTTATCTCTTTCCAATCAGAAACTAAAAAAGTAGTATTTTTTACCTTCATTATATTTTTGTGGCATTTTTCTTCTGTCCTTCTTTCAAAAGATGCCAAACGCATGCATTTGAAAATATTTAGCCATCAGCATTGTTTAAAACCTAGTTACCAAGTATAAGGAATAATAAAGTTGCTACACGAACTAAAAGATCACCTGCTAAATAATATATTGAAGTTAAATTATTTTCTCTAGGATTGTCTCACAGCTCAGTATCTGGGTCTGTAATGTATCCGTGGTATGCTAGCACCAGTCCAATGCTCTACCTACCTCAGGATGACCGGGAAGCAATTCAACAGCTCTATGGATCGCCCAGGTATGTATCTTGCAATAAGGTCAGATCTTTAAAATATGGAGACCAAGGTTGTATTATACGGTGGTTACTGTAAAAAGCAAAAAATACACCAGTTTACACAACTACCCAGTTATTAGTTTTAAAAAAACTAGCTATAGTTTTGAAACCTCTCCGAAACCTAGCGGCTACCAGAGGAAATCAACTAAGAGTCGCTGGAGTGGTTATTAGGACGTAAAGTTAAAATGTTAATTTCGTATTTAATAAAGTAAATTGAGTCTTTGTCACAATCCCTGATTTTCTAATCCCTCTATCTTTGTAGCTTATTTTCGTAGACCTTAGATATTTTAATGGATGAATTATATTAGATCAAATAATCTAAGTTTGAAATATGAAAGGTCTGCACCACCAGGTTGCAAAGAAATTGGGATTAGAAAAGTTAAGTTTGTGGCAAAGAGACTTAATTTCTTATTTTTATATTTTAATATTAGGAGAAGGAAACAATACTATTGAAACTGAACACAATTTTTCATCATTTTACTCAAATTATATTTCTAGAATTTGAGTATTTAGGAGGATTATTCTGTTGAATTGAAAAATGAGTTCATTTTATCTTTTATCACATTCTGAGTAGAAGCATTTTTTTAGTGTCTTCCTTATACACATTAGTTATAATTAATTATCTCTTAAAGTAAAAATTAAGAGAATTGTTAGCATTTTGAAATAAGTTTTTCATCAATAAATTTGAACGAAAAAAAGCTAAATTTTGATGCCTTCAATGGATTATACAAGTACGAATTTTATGTTTCTGTATCTCTTCAAAATTTTAATTTGTTAGGCCTGGAACTATTCCGGAGAAAAATGATAGAATAGGAGGATTATTCTTATGAATTGAAAAATGAGTTCATTTTATCTTTTATCACATTCTGAGTGGAAGCATTTTTTGTAGTGATTGAACGAAAAAAAGTTTAATTTTGATGCCTTTCGATCTGTATTATAAAAGTACAAATTTTATGTTACTGTATCTCTTAAAAATTATAATTTTTTAGGCCTGGAACTATTCCGGAGAAAGATGATAGACGGACAACAATTTCAATTCCTGAGATAACTCTAGCTCCTTTAACTCCAGTCCGACCCACCCCTTCCCCTGATAAATCCGTCCCGGTAAAGTGTGAAACTAGTTTTGATGCCGTGGCTGTTATCCGGAGTGAGATGTGGGCGTTTAAGGGAAGATACTTCTGGAGGATAAACAAGGAGGGAGGAACCAGGTTCGTTTTAGTTTATTGATTGTTTTACTTTTTGATAATTTAAACTCGATTAAATTGAGGTCTTCATGAAACACCAAAAAAAATGAAATGATTGTCGTCTTCACTCATCTTTTAATTAGTATTTGTTATTTTAAAACTGTTTTAGCTTTTATATTTTTGCTGAAACTTATGAACGGTATTTCTAATAAAAAAATAAACATTCACAAGCATTACCGCTTTGCCACAAACTAAATTTTATAATCCCTATAACTCTGCAATCTGATGGTGTAACCTTTGATATTTCAAACTTAGATTATTTGATTTAACAGAATTCATTGTTATATCTAAAGTTTACATTGGGGTGCTAAGATATAGTGATTAGAAAATCTGAGTTTGTAACAAAGACTCAGTTCATTTGTAAATTTACACACCTGTTCTAGAGAGGACCCTGTAGAGATTGGTTCCTTCTGGTACGGTCTCCCCAGCAGTATAGATCATGTGGATGCAGTTTATGAGAAACAGAATCATGATATCGTTTTCTTCGTCGGGAAGAAGTTCTACATTATGTCAGGGAATTCACAGCTCAAACATGGACCTCAACCTTTAACGGTGGGTTTAAATGAAAGACATGTTTTCATTGATTTATTGAGAAGGTATACACAAGAAACGTTAAAATCACTATAGTATATACATTCTATTGTTACTTCGAATTCGAGTCCTTTTTCTTTTCAAATCATATTGAACGCAACAAATATTTTTTCTTTTTCTTTTAGACGCTTTGATGATTTTTTTCTTTGACACTAACAGCATCTAGCTCCTTTATCTATTAATCTGGTGCTTTTAGATCGACAATTTTGATGGTTTTAGTTCAAACAGAAAGTCAATATTTAGATAAATTCCAATGGGAATTTTTTAGAATTCAATAATTTTCCATAACAACCTTTTTGCTTAGAAAAAAGGTTTAATGGTACCGTTGTCATCGAACATTGCACTCTTTTTAACTCGAGGGTCACTTTAAATTACGCTTGCAGTCCCTTTATTTAGCGGATATTTACGTTTCGCTATATAATGAGCCAGATAAATGCTTGATATTGGTTACTATAAGTACCGGATGGTATTTGAAAACATCTTGTCAACAAAAAATTACTATTTTAGAGATTAGGTCTTCCGGAGTCCTTGGAGAAGGTGGACGGTGCAATGAAGTGGGGATACAATCAGAAAACTTATTTTTTCTCAGGTTCACATTTTATTATTTTTGTTGTAAGGTTTTCCGGACTTAAATACCTTCTCTCGGGTTGGTACTTCAAAAAAAAGAGTATTTGAAAAATTCCTTCAAAACCACTTTTTCCACTGAAATTTTCAAAGCTTTCCGAAGGCATCGTAATAAAACTAGTACCAACCAAACATTATGAAACTTGTTCTACACCCCGTTTCTTAATTTAATAACACTCGCTTTAATATTTAGGAGATATGTACTGGAGGTTTGATGACGATGAGAACATGGTTGAGCTGGATTATCCCCGAGATATATCAATGTGGAAGGGAGTCCCTTACCATATAGACGCTGTATTCCAATATACAGACAAGAAAACATATTTCTTCAAGAACCGTAGTTTCTGGGAGTTTGATGATATCAGGATGGAGGTGGTGACAAGAACTCCAACTCCTGTAGGAGAACATTGGTTCCATTGCCCTAAAGATCTTTATGATCCTGTCACAGGATCTAAATCTAAACTATCTAGTCAAATTTTCATTTTTATTTTTTTATTTAGTTGGATAGTACTGCTGTAGATTAGACACCGAACTCCGCTTTATAGAACGAGAAAGAAGTTGATTAACGAGTTAAACATATAGTTAAAATACTTATCGTTTCTGACTTCAGGCATTACTTACATGTGAAAATGTATCGTTTTTTAGCCTACTGCAATTGTGTGTCATTTGTATATCTAATATATTTATGTATCACAGTTACATTTACACATTACACCATTTTATAATCATGAATTAATAATGTATAACTATACACAATTTACACCTTTTTGTAATCATGAATCAAGAATGTACAACTATTTGCAATCCGTAATCAATAATGCATTACTAAGCAGATAACACCTATTTGTAATAATGAATTACTATTGTTTAACGATACTTTTACATCTACGTGATTGAGTAAGTGTGTATGATAATATACACATTACAACTATCTGTAACTATGTATATGTAACCTTGAATCAAGTAAAAAAAACTACACATTACACCTATCCGATATCATGAATGTAGTTTGTAAAACTAATTTCCAAATTTGTATGTCAATTAAGAATTTGAGAGATGCCACAAATTCGAATTTTCTAATCCCTACATCTTTGCAAACTATTGGTGTACAGCTTTAATATTTCTAACTCATAGTTTAAATATTAATGATCTACGATATTTGGCTGCAAAAATATAGGGATTAGAAAAATTGGTGGCAAGTACTCAATTTCTTAACTCAATTAGAACTGAAAAAGTCAAAACAATTAATTGCCAAAATGTATGTAAAATCAAAGATCTAATCTTTTCAACTTAACGTGTTAAACAAATGCTCCAATCTATTTCATGCTAGTTTTGTTTTTAGTTAAAAATTTCACTTTTATGCTAAATGAAAATGCGTGAAAAAAAAACAGATATTAATGCTAATTTTTTTTATTGTTTTTACTAATGTGATATTTCTGCTTGTAAGGAAAACCTGGTATCTTGGCCTAAGACTTTGAACCCGCTTTTATGTTTTGCAATAAAATTTTAAATTCACTTAGCAAATGCAAATCTTGTTCAGTAAGACCCTTTAGATAACTATGTTGGGAGAATTGAACCAGATTTTGACCGGAGAAGATGAGAGTTATGTGATTGAACTCTGGCTTGTAACAGTTCTATTTATCTGGATGTTTGCGAAGTTATGGATTGTAGATGTTAACAAGAACCCTGGTAGGTTGTAATTGTTAGGATTAAAAAATACCCTTGAATGGGTCAGTTTTATTGAATGACATGTTTGTCAGAATTACACTTGCCATGGCATGTTTATCATAAGTAACACTTGCCTTGAGTTAAACTTTTCATAATTACTATTAATTTTAATTGCAATGCAAGACAAGGAGTTCGCTACTAGAAGGTGAAGTTATTGCGTTCTTATTTCAAGCAGTTCGCAAACTAAAGTTGAGAATTTTCATGAGAAATTCGGCGCATTAATAAAAAGAATTAGGTAGATTTTACTTCGTATAAATAAGAAAATCATGTCAAGCAAGGAAAGTTATTTCAGAGGTGGGCGCGTCTCTTGTACTGCAGTGTACTGTCTCTGGGCGGTAATGTAAACACTAGACGGATGTCGAAGGCTGACATGGGATCCATCTTTCACATAAATAATCAATGAAATATTCTGGTCATAGGAAACTATTATGTGAATTATCAAAATTATCAAAATTTAATGCTTTTAACCTCCTCGGGCATATAGATACTAAACGAACACTGATGCATCTATTCTTGTTTACAAATTCCGCCCAGAGAGAACTGGTTTCAATGTGTACGCATAGTATTCGCAACTGTAATTAACTTCCCTGGCATTATAACCTTGATGGCAAGTGTTTAATTTTGGCAAACGTTTTTCTGGCAAATTAAATATGATCGATCAATAAAAGCCATCGCGTAGATATGCAAAGTATTATCAAAATTTTGTGTGAAAAGTTTGTGATTTCCTATACGCCGCGATCCAGAAAAAAAGCTTATTCTAGACCTTCAAGATAAACTTGCACTCTACTACATTCAGAATATAAATCATAAAACAATAAAATTTGTTACAGACTTTTCTCATAATTTATGCAATACTAGCTTGAAAACCCAGCGTTGCCCAGGGTACTCATAGTTCCTCCCACCGTTTACCCGCGCTTGGTCGTAAATTACGATTTTACCTATTTTCTCCCATAAAAGTGGATCCACTCAACTTAGAATCTGTAAACCAAGCTATAAACAGAGATAGCAACTTTATACATATAGAGTTAGACTTTTCTTTGTCAAGTTTATGCATATAAAAAGGGACGAACCAATTTTTGGGAAATGTTAGATTTTTTTAAAAATCAGATTTATACGAGTTCTTGGATTTCTAAGTTAGTGATAACGTGGCCTTTACAGTCCAAGTATGTTTCTCTAAAAATTTAAATTTCATTGTTTTTATATTATCAATCAAATTTTTCAGTTAAATGTCTAGAACTAGAGGATGTAAGAGAGGAGAAGCCTGGTGCAGTATCCGACCAGACCAGGCCAACTTATCGCACTGGTATCCCTGGGATCGTTCCACTCCGTTGTGATCCTGAAAGATGTAAATCGCAAAATTCTGTAATCTCACAAAATTCATCGGTATATGTATTATTTTGTATTAAAAATTGAAAAATCCTCCAAGAGAAAACTGTTTTTACAATATTTGTAAACGTTGCAACAATATCGCATCGTAGTCATATTGCTTCGATATACACTGCAAACATGGTTACCCACAAAGGTTGAGACTACAATGACCTTAACATCTTTAATTCTGTCCATCGGACATTTTTAATTTGATCTGCGGTCTTAAATAAACATTTTCAAATGACTAAATAATTTAGCAGAGAAAGCAAAAGTTTTACGTTAAGAAAACCACGACTGTAAAAATAAATAATAAATAATACTCGTACGGCCGTCTCTGTATTCCATGACCAGTAAATAGTTTAAAAATTTGTCCATGGTTCAGGGTGTTGTGAAGAAGAAGCAAGGAGAATTTACTCCTCCAATACCAGCACCCTATCCACCCAGCTACAACCATAAGAGTAACCAAGGGGTGAAGAGAAGGTTGTGTGAACTAGCAAAAAGTGCTCCGAGGCACAGCAACTATATCCAGTTGTTCCTGGAACTCTTCTCCGGGTACAAGATAGATATCAATGAACCTCTTCTCCTCAATGGTATGACAATATTCCACTGCTGTTGCTTGTCTGTAAGCTACAAGCTGATGGTTTCTGTTATTCATCTCGCTGACATATCCATCCTCACATACCACAAGTATGTTAAAATATTATTAAT